AAGATGCTCCAACATATAACAAGGACATATGCTCCACTATGTTCATAGCAGCCTTATTTATAATAGCCAGAAGCTGGAAAGAACCCAGATGTCCTTCAACAAAGGAATGGATACAGAAAATGTGGTACATTTACACAATGGAATATTACTTAGCTATTAAAAACAATGAATTTGAAAAATTCCTGGGTAAATGGATGGAGCTAGAAAATATCATCCTGCGTGAGGTAACCCACTCACAAAAGAACACACATGGTATGCATTCACTGATAATTGGATATTAGCCCAAAAGCTGGCAATATCCAAGATACAACTAACTCACAGACCACATGAAGCTCATGAAGAAGGAAGACCAAAGTGTGGGTGCTTTGGCCCTTCTTAGAAGGAGTAACAAAATACTCACAGGAGCAAATATGGAAACAAAGTGAGGGACAGAAACTGAAGGAGGGGCCGCCCAGAGACTGTTCCACCTGGGTATCTATCCCTTGTGCAGTCACCAAAGGTAGACACTGATGTGGATGTCAGGAAGTGCATGTTGACAGGAGCCTGATATAGCTGTCTCCTTAGAGGTCTGCCAGAGTTTGACATATACAGAGGCGAATGCTCACAGGTAACCACTGAACTGATCATGGGGTTCCCAATGGAGGAGTGAGAGAGAAGACTGAAGGAGATGAAAGGTTTTGCGGCCCCATGGGGAGAACAACAATACCAACCAACCAGAGCTCCCAGGGACTAAACCACCAGCCTGGGAGACATAGGGAGGGACCCATGGCTCCAGCTGTATATGTAGGGGAGAATGACAGTGTCAGACATAGGTGGGTGAGGAAGTCCTTGGTCCAGTGAAGGTTGGGTGCCTCAGTTTGGGGGAAATCGTGGGTGGGGAGGTGGGAGTGGGAGGGGGACATATCCTCATAGAAGCAGGAGGAGGGGGGATGGGATAGGAAGTTACCAGGTAGAGGGGAAAGGGGATTACATCTGAAATGTAAATAAAATATCCAATAAAAAAATTTAAAAAAGATAATTCATAAAATTCTAAATACTCATGTATGTTTACAAAGACATGTAATTAAGATAGTTTAAAATCTATTTATGTTAAAGTTTATGTGTGTGCATATATCTGAGTGTAGGTGGGCATCAGAGCCCCTGGGGTTGGAGTTTTGTGAGTCACTCAATATGGTTGCTGGCTACTGGGAACTGAATGTGGGTCTTCTACAAGAGCAGTGTGTATTCCTGACCACTGGGCATCTCTCTAGCACCTAAAATTTTTATAAAATATAGAAAGGATCGTCTTTCTGGTCTATACCTCCAACTGAACCTGTACCAGATCCATATGCTTGCCCCCCACCCCATAGCCTACCAGTCTCTCAGGAGGTCTGCCATAGCCAGGAACACAAGTAAGACCCCTGCCCCAATACCACACCAGCGAGGACCCCACAGAGCCCAACAGACATGAGATCCATCCCTCTTTGCATGACCCCCCTCATCCTCCTGGTCTGCACCTGTATCTGAATCTGTGGCAGATCAAAGTGCCTGCTCCTAGACACAAAGCCAGACGGTCTGCCAGAAGGCGTGCCCTAACCAGAGACAGCACTGCCTGCCAGCATATCCAGGAGGCCTGCTCTAACCAGGATCACACAGCCCTATCTGCCACCAAAGAGGCCTACTCCAGCCCAAGACACCCAGACACCAGAGATAACCAGATGGCAAAAAGCAAGCACAAGAACATAAGCAACAGAAGCCAATGTAATTTGGCACCATCAGAACCCAGTTCTCCTACTACAACAAGCCCTGGATATCCTAATACACTTGAAGAACAAGATTCTGACCTAAAACCCCATCTCATGTTGATGATAGAGGCATTTAAGGAGGATATAAATAATTCCCTTAGAGAAATACAGGAAAACACAAATAGGTAGAAGCCCTTAAAGAGAAAATAAATAAATCATTTAACAAAATAAAGGGAAATACAATCAGGTGAAGGAATTGAACAAGACAGTCCAACATCTAAAAATGGAAATAGAAACAATAAATAAATCACAAATGAAGGCAACCTGGAGACACAAAAACCTAGGAAATAGATTAGGAGCTACAGATGCAAATATCACCAAGAGAATATAAGAGATAGAAGAGAGAATCTCAGGCATAGAAAATACTATAGAAGATATTGACATGTTGGTCAAAGAAAATACAAAGTGTAAAAAGTTCCTAGCTGAAGACATCCAGGAAATTTGGGTTATAATGAGAAGACCAAACCTAAGAATAATATGAATAGAAGAGGGGCAGAAAATATCTTCAGCAAAATCATAGAAGACTTGTCTAACCTAAAGAAAGAGATGCCCATAAACACACAAGAAGCTTACAGAACACCAAATAGATTGGACCAGAAACAAAAATTCTACTGCCATATAATAATCAAAACACCAAATTTATGGAACAAAGAAAGAATATTAAAAGCTGCAAGGGAAAAAGGCCAAGTAACATATAAGGGCAGACCTATCGGAATTACACAGACTTCTCAACAGAGATGTTAAAAGCCAGAAGATCTTGGACAGATGTTATACAGTCTCTAAGAGAACACAGATACTAGCCCAGGCTACTGTACCCAACAAAACTCTCAATCACCATAGATGGAGAAACAAAAATATTCTATGACAAAAATCAAATTTAAACAATATCTTTCTACTAATCTAGCCCTACAGAGGATACTAGAAGGAAAACTCCAACACAAGGAGGGAAACTACACCCAAGAAAACATAAGAAATCAATCATCTCTTAACAAATCCAAAAGAAAAGAATCACACACACACACACACACACACACACACACACACACACACACAATATCACTTCCAACAACAAAAAATAACAATCATTGGTCTTTAAATCTCTCAACATCAACAGACTCAATTCTCTAATAAAAAGACACAAGCTAACAGACTTTATACATAAACAGGATCCATCATTTTGCTGCATACAACAAACACACCTCAGCTACAAAGGTAGACACTATCTCAGAGTAAAGCACTGGAAAAAGGTTTTCTAAGCAAACTGTCACAAGGAACAAGCTGGAGTAGCCATATTCTAATATCCAATAAAATAGACTTTCAAGCAAAAGTTATCAAGAGAGATGGGGAAGGATATTTCATACTCATCAAAGAAAAAGTCCACCAAGATGAACTCTCAATTCTGACCATCTACACTCCAAATGCAAGGGCACCCACATACATAAAAGAAACGTTACTAAAGCTCAAAACACACGTTGAACCTCATACAATAATGGTAGGAAACTTCAATACCCTACTCTCACCAATGGACAGATCGTGGAAACAGAAACTAAACAGAGACACAGTGAAAGTAACAGAAGTTATGAACCAAATGGATTTAACAGATATCTATAGAACATTTCACTCTAAAACAAAAGAATATACCTTCTTCTCAGCACCTCATAGTACCTTCTCCAAAATAGACCATATAATTGGTCACAAAACAGGCCTCAACAGATACAAAAAGATTGAAATAATCCCTTGCATCCTATCAGATCACCATGGACTAAGGCTGGTCTTCAATAAAAACAAAAACAATAGAAAGCCTACATACTCATGGAAACTGAACAACTCTCTACTCAATGATAACTTGGTCAGGCAAGAAATAAGAAAGAAATTAAAGATTTTCTAGAATTTAATCAAATTGAAGGCACAGCATATCCAAACTTATAGGACACAATGAAAGCAGTGCTAAGAGGAAAATTCATAGCACCGAGTACTTTCATAAAGAAATTGGAGAAATCAGATCAGAAAGGTCTAGAACAAAAAGAAGCAAACACACCCAAGAGGAGTAGAAGGCAGGAAATAACCAAACTCAGGGATGAAATCAACCAGTTAGAAACAAAGAGAACAATACAAAGACTCAACAAAACCAAGAGCTGGTTCTTTGTGAAAATCAACAAGATAGATAAACCCTTAGCCAAACTAACTAAAGAATACAGAGACTGAATCCAGATTAACAAAATCAGAAATAAAAAGGGAGACATAACAACAGAAACTGAGGAAATTCAGAAAACTATCAGATCTTACTACAAAAGCCAACCATTGGACTGAGGTCCAGGATTCCTATAGAAGAGTTAGGGGAAGTATTTGAGGAGCTGAAGGAGATGGTAACCCCATAGGAAAGCTAACAGTGGCAACTAACCCGGACCCCTGGGAACTCTTTGGGACTAAACCACCAACCAAAGAGCATACATGGACTGGTCCATGGCCCTGCCACATAAGTAGCAGAGGACTACCTTGTCTGGCCTCAGTGGTAGAGGATACACCTAGTCCTGTAGAGGCTTGATGCCCCAGGGAAGGAGGATGTTAGGGGGATAAATTGTAAAGTGTGTAGTAGGGTAGCACCCTCTCAGAGGCAAAAGGGAGGTGGGATGAGGAGAAAACTCTGGGATAGGGGACAATATTTGGAATGTAAATAAAATAATTAAAAATATAAAGTAATTGGGATCTTTAAAGGTCTAGAAACTATGGTTTAATACAAATATTCTAGGTAAATTTAAGCTTTTAAGTTAATTGTAATTTAAGCAATATAAAAGCAAAGAAAGCTGGGTATGTAAGGAAGATGCTTTTTTTGGGGGGAGGAGGGTGGAGTTCGAGACAGAATTTCTCTGTGTAGCCCTGGCTGTCCTGGAACTCATTCTATAGACCAGATTGGCCTCAAACTCAGAAATTTACCGGCCTCCCAAGTGCTGGGATTAAAGGCGTGCACCACCACTGACTGACCAGAAAGATGCTTGTGATCCAGGATTTGAGAGATGGAGGCAGGAAGATCAGAAGTTCAAGGTCCTTTTCAGTTTCATAGTGAGTTTGAGGTCAAAACAAATGACCAAATAAATAGTAAACAAACAAACAAAGATAAAGAAAAATGACTTTGTTCATCCAGCATTGTGACTGTAAATTTAATTGAGTTGTATGGAATCTTCAGAAACTGGAGTCATAGAATTACTGTGCTGTTACCTTGCATTTCTTCCTCCGAAATACTAAGGAAGGTGGTACTAGCCAGTTGAAAAGTTCTTTCAGCAGATGTTGATGTTCTAGTTCATTTAGAGGCTCTTTCAATGAATTCAACCATGAAGCCACAAGTGGCTCCCATCCTAACTGTGAAGGTTCCAAATAAATCATGCCGCAGCGACTCACAGTGGCTGGCTGGAGAAAAAGCACAGACTTCCTTTTTCCATTTCCAAAGATCGCTTTTCCACGCATGGTCCCTGACCATTACAGCTAGTACTCGTAAGTCCTTTCAGGATGTAGGCCACTCCCATTTTGGTACTCTAAAAACATGCTACGTGTTCCCAATACAGCAAACTATTTTCAGTCAGGTCCTTAGCCATCTTATATCTATTCATGTTTGGACATCTTCCAATCATGATTTGAAATGCCCAAACCTAACTCATCTCCTTGAAGAAGTCTTGAATCTTCTGCAAAACTAGGTCAAACACAAACATCTAAGGTCTTCCTCCTCCCATTGCCCCATGGATGCTCAGTTCTCTCCATGCTCTCAGGGCGCTTACACATAACTGTGTATTGGGATCATTCGTTAGCATCTTCCCACCCGTTTTAAACATACAGAGTATTAGTCATCTGTCTATCCCCAGTGTTAAGCCCATTTAGGACACAAAATATTTTGATTCAATAAATGAATAAACAAACTATAAACTAAATATTTATATATTAAGAACTTACCGAAGCCTGTGAAAGGTCCATTGTTTCAAAGATGAGGCTCATTTGAGGGGACATTTGAATGATTTCTCCACTCATAAGGCAAAGCTAAGGGCAAATATTTTTCAAATATTTTAAAATTTAGGTAGAATTGTTATCTTTATAGATAAAAGATGTGCTGGGATATAAAGGCATGAATATGGATGGAAGCCAGAAAAAAAATCCTAGTCTAGCCCTGTGTTTATGATGCCTCCTTAGCTTCTTGAATCTAAAACATTCCCTCTTCTATCAAATAGGTTCAAAGCGTGAATTTATCAATTACATCCCTTCTCTCAAACTCTCAGTTCTTCCATTATTATTAAAACTACCTTATCTCAAGCTCCTTAGCTTGAAGATCATTAAATTTTAATAATATTAATGACTATTATTATCAACTATTCATATATCAAATTAATTTCACTACAAAGTCTCAACTGCCTCCACGTTTCTCTCTTGCTTCCTCTTTGCTCTTACAATCTTCATCCCAGACTCAGGTTTACTCTGTCTAGTCGTAACCAACAATGAAGCATCTAACATTTCTGGATTCAGCTCATTAGGTATAGAATAGAGTGGCAAACAGTTGTACCGTACACTATGCTAGCCGCTAACCATGTAGGGCTATTTATATTTAACTTACCAATGTAAAATTAAATATAGTTCAGTTCTTCAACACCTTCTTTTTCTTGCTGCACAAGATGAAGTGAGAGCCTCAAGCATCCAGCAAGCACTCTAAGCTATCTCCCTACCCCAAGTTCAGTTCTTCAACTACACTAAGCAATTCTGCAAACAAAGTGTTGTCAAGCCACATGTGACTGACTGATGTCTACCTTAACAGTGCAGATATTTCCAGAATTGTAGAAAGTTCTACTTGAGAGAAGTAATCTAGAATATGTTTGGCCGGGCAGTGGTGATGTATGCCTTTAATCCTAGCACTTGGGAGGCAGAGATAGGCGGATTTCTGAGTTCGAGGCCAGCCTGGTCTACAGAGTGAATTCCAGGACAGCAGGGCTACACAGAGAAACCCTGTCTCAAAAAACAAAAACAAAAAAACCATCACTCTACTGTGCTGCCACCATCAGACACCATCAGACACAAGTCAGCCATGTGGAAATCCTTGCATTTGCTGTCACTTTCTAGGCATGGAGGATCTTCTTCTCACCAAAGCACTCCATTCCTGGCCTAATCCTGGCCCAATCTTGTTTTAATTTGAGACTGGGCCAGTGTTCATGAGGGTAAGCATTTCAGAGCAATAGAATCTTGTGTTCCTGACTAACCCATCTTTACTTTTTTTTCTTCACTTATTTTTGACTTACTTTGTTCTAGACATTCATTCCATATATCTGGAAATTTATCTCTTGAAAAACAAAACACTATGTAATTCTGAACAATTCAATTCAAGCATCTTAGCTCTGCCCACAGCTCCATCCAGTTTTCCTGCCCATTAGCACTGAATATACCCCTTTTCCTTTACTGGAGAACAGAGTTCTTCCTCCTAATGTATCATGACTGAGGTTCTCACTCACTCTACGCAGACCAACTTCCCCCTACTGTGCTCTCTCCTCATCTTGGTAAGGAATATCCTATCACAGCTGGTTTTACTTCCTTTCTTGGGTAAGTTCTGCTTTGTATACAGTGCTTCTACTATCCGCATGCCATTCATTATCTTTAGAGTCTGGGTGTATTTTCAGGATTGAAACTTTACCTTTACCTATGCCCAGGCTGCTTGTTTGTAGAGAATATTTCACAAATGCGGCCTTTGGTAGAATGGTGGTTCTAGCCTTTTAAATTAACCTGGTCCTCAGTACAACCCACATATACCTCTATGTTTCTGTAACCCAGTGGCTCTCAATCTTCTTAATACTGTGGTCCATGAGACTAACAGTTCCTCATGTTGTGGTGACCCCCAACTGTAAAATTTATTTTGTTGCTTCTTCTTTTTTTTGAGGGGGGGGGTAGTTTCAAGACAGGGTTTCTCTGTGTAGTCCTGGCTGTCCTGGAACTCACTCTGTAGACCAGGCTGGCCTCGAACTCAGAAATCCACCTGCCTCTGCCTCCCAAGTGCAGGGATTAAAGGCATGTGACCCCACTGCCTGGCTTTGTTGCTACTTCTTGACTGTAATTTTGCTACTGTTATGAATCATAATGTATGATGTATGATGTTTCTGATATGCAGGGTCTCTGATAAGTGACCCCAAAGGTCACAGTTGAGCCCATGAGTTGAGAAACACTGCTAAGCAAATCTGCTTCCCTTCCCAGCTCCCACCATGGCTACTTAAAACAGCTTCATTTCTTCTGAAAAGAACCAAGGCTTACCACAAGTCAGCAGAAGGACTGTATTTTATTTGTCACCACCAACTCTGTGTATCAGATGATACTCCCTGTCATCTGATGTGACAGCAGTGTTCTGTGTGAGTTTAAATTCCTACATTTCATTCTGCTGATTAACCCCTCCTTTCTGAATCATCAACACCTGTCTGTCTACTTTTCTCTCTCAGTGCCATCAAAACTACTGAGTGAAAAATATGACCAACAATGATAAAGTTCTTAAACATACATTTGAGTACTAATTAAATGAATTCACTATTTAATAGAATAGTCACTTCATATATTTATTAAAAAAAAAAAAACTTGTGTGGGGGAAATGGCCCAATAGTAGAGTTCTTGCTTAATATCTGCCCAAGGATTCAGTCCCTAATGCTACAAAACTAGAATGGAAATAAACTGAGACATATTCACACAGTAGAATACTAATACAGACATAAAAGAGAATAAGGAATAAAGTAGAAAACAACAACACAGACACCTTATGTACATAGACTAACATGAAGTTCAAAATGCGCTAAAACCAGTTATTACTTATTAAGTGATGACCTCTGGAACATATACTGACTTGGAAGGTGCATGAATGAACCTCTGGGTGCAGAGAATTTGATGCATCTTTATTTTGGTAACATCTATGAAAATGTTCAAATACATTAAAATCACAGCATCCACCTTTTAGAATTTTATGTCCATTTGCCCTCAATTAAAAGAAATATCATAAGACTTCCATTGTCTAGTTCTTTTGTACATCTCTCATGTCCCAGGGTAACATTGTACAGATAAACACTAAGGTATTTAACTTTTTTTTTTTTACAAAAGGGATGAGACTTTTATTTGATTCTAACTTCTATAAACTTCTATACGAAATTATAAGATTGAAGTAACTTAACTTACTCTTTTTTATATGTACGAGCTTTTTGTCCACATGTACATCTGTCCACCACATGCACACAGTGACAAGCAATGAGTTACAGACGACTGTTAGGCACCAGGTAGGTGCTGGGAATTGTACATTGATCTTGGGTCCTCAGTCCTCTGAAGAGTAGCCAGGGTTTTTAACAGCTAAGCAATCTCCCCAGTCCAATTTAAATTTTTAGTGGATTGTTGTGGTGGTTTGAATAAGAATAGCTCTAATAGGCTTATATATTTCAATGTTTACTTACATATATTTGAATGACTTTGTCACCAGGCACTATTTGAAAAGATTGAAAAGATTAAAAGGATTAAGTGTGGCCTTGTTGGAGGAAGTGTGTCACTGGGGGTGGGCTTTGAGGTTTCAATATCCCATGTCAAGACCAGAGTCAGTCAGTCAGTCAGTCAGTCAGTCAGTCAGTCAGTCAGTTTGTCTGTCTGTCTGTCTCTCTCTCTCCCTCCCTCCCTCCCTCTACCTGTAGATTATGACGCATCTCTCATCTACTGCTCCAGTGCCTGCCTACCTCCATTCTCTCTGTCCCAATGATAACGGTCTAGCCCTTTGAAACTGTAAGGACGCCCCCAATTAAATGGGTTCTTTTATACGAGCTGCCTTGGTCACGTTGTCTCTTCCCAGGAATAGAGCAGTGACTAGCACAATTACTATGTTAACACAGTAGCTTGAATATAGCACACTTGCATTCTATTAGAAACAAAAGACTATAGCATAGTCTTTACTGAAAAGATAATTTATAAATGCATTCATTTTTAACACACTTTAGTTTAAATATAATCCTAGAATTGATTAATTATGTCTGAATAAGTTCTGATTTAAATAATAGTAATTTACCTTTTTATTATCATCCAATACTGTATTCATACTCTCTATCCACAAAGTATCAATAGGACCATCAAATACAACCCATTTCCGGTCAGGTGATTCTGCTAAGGCAAATTCTCTAAATGTGTTTGCCACAATGCCATCAGTCCACTGAGGAAAAAAAGGAACAGCTGAAAAGCTTCCTTCATAAAATAAATTGGATTTCTGTTTTAAAACATAGAAATACTCCTAATTTCTTGCTTTAATATGCCCTGTCTATAGGAAAGAATGTTATCCTGTAGATTACCTCATGAGACACTGGGTCAAACTGCCCAAAGAGTTGGCCCATAGTAATTGATTTGGGGTTTACGGTCCTATACATGACCTTTTCTTCATCTCCATAGTTGCGTTCGTTCATAAGAGTTAAAGTGTCTGCCAGCACGTGCAACACCTCTGTCTTGGCAGCAAAAGGCTCTCCTACCAACATGAAACTACGAGAGACAGAATTTCACAGGAAGATGGTAAAAATATGACCAATCATTTGTACCAGTATAGAAGACATCACTCTGAAGTAATCACCATAGACAATTTTTTAATTTCTAAAATGTTTCCTCAGATAAGATGAAAATACACTTAACTTCTAAATTGATCAAATCTACACTGAGTTTTTCACATTTATAACACTCTCAAAGATAGCATATAATAAGATATATCTAAATGACAGTAAAATTTTATTATCTCTATACTCTTAAAATAAAAACCAAGACACTGTTTCTAAAGCTTCTGACAGCTTCGGTGATTACAAGGACTCTTTGCCATACATTTCCAGACCTTAAGAAGATTATATGACAGTGCTCTGTCTCAAAATAGGAAATTTTCCCTTTATATTTTCCGACTGAAGTTGATTGACTGTGGGTAACTAAAGCATAGAAATGGAAACTGCAGGAAAGGAGGGCTACCATGGCCGTTTCAGGAGGAAACAAGACTGGATGAAAATAGGCTGGAGGTGTAGAATCTACTAAACCTGGAGGGTTAAGGTTACCACAAGGATTTAGAGAAATAAAACTGTACTTAGGGCAGATGGAGGAGGAAACATAAAAGATGATTATAATTTCCAGAAGACGTTTGCCGGTTTCTACCTCCTGAGTCTGGTCTAACAGCATGTACATGTGCTCAACCCTGGATGCGTGAGCATTCGTTTACTCGTCCCTCATTTAGTATATGCTTGAAATTTTGCATAATGCAAATGTTTTCATTTTAACTTTTCAAAAATCATGATCAGACCCTAACTGTTAATAAACAGGAAACGGCGGAAGTCATTCTTCAGTTACTAAAAATAACATTTTCCTTCCTTGTTACTACATGTGTGCTGAGAGAAAAAGACAAAAATAGGAAGATATTTCAATGTTAAGTCAAGTCCTGTGGAAAACAGCTGGTTAGAAAGACCCAGGAAACAAAAATCAGGCAGAGTTAGGTCCATGATATTATAAAGAGCATTAAGTTTATATATTTTAAGAGATCTTTTAAGAAAAAATACATATAATTATGAATACAAAATTACATATCCACCTTACAAAGTAAGTTATATACACAAAATGTTTATAGCTGCTTGAATGATTCCCCATAAAGACGAGGTCCTAAAGTTTATATTCCATTAGTTTCACAGTAAAACCATCTCTGAAAATGGGACCATTAGGTGCCCAAGTGGATTTCAGAATTGTTATCTAACAATATAAGCTATGTTTACTTCAGTTTCTGAGACAGGATCTTCACATAGAGGCCAACCTGGCCTGCAATTCAGGACCCTCCTGCCTTGATGCTCACAAGCAGGATTAGAGGTGTGCATGCCTCTCCTTCTTTGTTTTGTTTTGGTTTTTTTCTGTAAACTACTGAGAAGAGAGGAGTTATTTGCTCCCTAGCCTTCCTAATATAAAAAGTTTATTGCGCCGGGCGGTGGTGGCGCATGCCTTTAATCCCAGCACTTGGGAGGCAGAGGCAGGTGGATTTCTGAGTTCGAGAGTTCGAGGCAAGCCTGGTCTACAGCGTGAGTTCCAGGACAGCCAGGGCTACACAGAGAAACCCTGTCTCGAAAAACAAAAAAAAACAAAAACAAAAAAAAAAAAAGTTTATTGCTTCTTTTCATTCTTTAGTTTAATTTAAAATAACATTAAACTATGGCAGATAATCAATATTCTTACCCGTGTCGAACAATCATCATTTCATATGTCTGAATAATTTTTTCAAGAAAAAATTTAACAGGCTGAAGATTATGTGTTTGGCAGGTTTCATGTGCACATTCCAAAAATTCCTGAAATAAAATAAAAATGAAATGTGTTTCTATAAAGTGTTATTATAGATCATGTCATACAGAAAGAATTTTTCAAATTAAAAAGAATAAATAGAACTAAAATGCTTTTAATATAACACTGTAAGTTATTAATGATCATAGCATTGGATGGATATATGTTTAAATAACATCAATTCTTTTTGCTAGTGTTTGCCAAAATTCTATATTTGGCTAAGAAACAAAAGAATATGCTTGATGACCCTTCATACCATAGCAACTAGGAATAAGCAGAGAAGCTGAAATATCAATAAAAGTTTAAGAGACATAAGGCACTGTAGATGCAAATCATTCTGATGGAACTTAAGTTCAGAAATGGGTTATTCTTTCCTGAGTGTCTTGGCTAGTTTTATGTCAACTCAACTTGACCCAAACTACAGTCATCTGAGAGGAGGAACCCTCAATTGAGAAAATGCCTCTATAAGAGCAGGCTGCAGGCAAGCCTGAAGGGAATTTTCTTAGTGATTGATGTGAGAGGGCCCAGCCCATTCTGTGTGGTGTCATCCTTGGGCTGGTGGTCCTGGGTTCTATAAGAAAGCAGGCTGAACAAGCCATAGGGAGCAAGTCAGTAAGCAACATCGATGGCTTCTGTATCAGCTCCTGCTTTTCAGGTTCCTGTCCTGTTTGAGTTTCTGTCCTGACTTCCTTTGATGATGAATTCTGATATTAAAGTTAAAGAAATCCTTTCCAGCTAGGCGCGGTGGTGCACACCTTTAATCCCAGCGCTCAGGAAACAGAGGCAGGTAGATCTGAGTTTGGGGCCAGTCTGGACTACTGAGGTGAGTTCCAGGACAGCAAGGGCTACACAGAGAAACCATGTCTGAAACAAACAAACAAACAAACAAACAAACAAATCCTTTCCTCCCCAAGTTTATTCTGGTCATGGTGTTTCATCACATCAATAGAAACCCTCACAAGATACTGGGTAAACGTGACTACAATTATGTTATGTCATGTTATGTGACGTTATGTTATGTTATGTCATATTACTATGGCCCCTTTAATGGTCATACTTTTAATCCCAGTACTTATGAACAAAAGCAGATAGATGTCTATGAGTTTTAGGCCAGTCACATGGTGACTCCATGTGAGATCTCACATGGTGAGATCCAAACCAGCCAGGGATACATTGTAAGACTCTGTCTCAACCTGCCTTCCTCCCCCAAAACCTAAACTTCTGCTGAAGGGAAGGACCTATAGTATAGCTAGATAGCACACAAAACAAGGAAAAGGAAACCAATACCCCAAGATCAAGCATATACTCAAAGATACTTATTCTACCACAGAGACATTTGCTCAACCCTGTTTATTGCAGCTCTGTTTATAATGGCTAGAAATGGGAAACTACCTAGATGTCCCTCGACAGAAGAATGGATGAGGAAAATGGGGTACATTTACACAATAGAGTATTAATCAGACTTTTTTTAAAAAATGAAATCATGAAATTCACAGGTAAATAGATAGAACTAGAAAAAAAAATCATCTTGAGTGAGGTATCCCAGACACAGAAAGACAACTATGGTACGGTATCCATTTGCTTATATGTGGATGTTAGCTGTTAAGTCAATGTTAAGGTTGCTACCAACCTTAAAAAGCAAGCTATAAATATGTTTTATGCAAATCTCGGGAAAGCATATTGCCTTCAAACAACAAAAGCAACAAGGGAAAAACAAATGTGTAAAGAAAACAAAATAACACGAGTCACACCTTATGTATCAATAATTAATTAAAATAATGTGAGTTGTACCTTACATATCAATAATTAATTAAAATAATGTGAGTCATTCCTCTTATCAATAATTGATTTGGGTCTGATTCAGCAGATAAGGCATCTGACACCCACCAAGCCTAACAACTTGAGTTCAGTCCCTGAGAACCACGTGCTGGAAGGAAAGAACTGACTCCTGCAAGTTGTTCTCCGACCTCTATATAAGAGCTGTGGCATGCATGTGTGCATATACACACATGTACAAACACATACAAAAGTAAATTAATTATTTTGACTGTAAATGGATTACACAATCCAATAAAAATGTATCAAAGGACTGAGCTGATTGAACAAACACAAGACCAAAGTATTTGCTGTCTGTTTCATCTCATAGAACACTCACAGAGAAAAATCAAATGGATGAGAAAGATATGCTGTGAAAATAAAAACAAAAGAGAGCAAAGGTAGATATACTTATAAATAGTAAATAAATATAATTATAAATAGTGAATAAATATTTACAAATAGTAAAAGGCTAAAAAGACAAAATAAATAAGCTTTAAGCTGAAAACTATAAAACTATAAAAAATAGAAAATAATAAAAAAAACACAGAAAGTCTTCAACAATGTCAAAAAGGACAGATTTTCAAAAACCAAATAAAACACCAAGGCAGCTGTAACAGTACACCCAGCACTGGGCACGTAATGATTCACAGCAAACACTTAGGCCCTAACGCAGGCATGGATTACAAGACAGTGGGAATGAATGGTGTTAGCATTCTCCTCTCACTATTTACCACACAATCCAAACATTAAATCGATTAAGAGACAAACTTGAATTCCACTTCAATCCAGGTGAAGATAGTAGATCTAAACATTTTTCCCAAATAGCAATAGAAAACAGATTTTTAGGTATACATGAAAAATTTGCAAAATTGACCACATAGCAAGCTACAAACTAAACCTTAACAGATCCAAAATAAAATCATACCAAGTATCTTTAAAATTTTTTTCCTATTTCAAATTTGATTTAAATCTTGAGTATTTTCATGTTCATAATAATCACAGGGGTTTTGCTACATCTTAAAAAGAAAAAAAAACAATGCTTCTCAAACTCTTCCAATTATTTTTTTGAAAAATGACTGCAAAGTCCCCTCTAAGATGATCCACACAGAGTAAGGTCCCCAATTTAATAACAGTTTGCAAATAATTGGACCATCAGTTGAATTTTGTTTTTGTACGGAGAAAGTAATTCTCATGGGTTCACTTACTTTGTAGTCTGCTTCAGGAAGCTTAATACCAGGAAATAAGTCACTAGTTATTCCATTAAACAAGGGTATGTCATGTGATAGAAACTTTGGTTCATTTACATCTTTAATTGATCGAAGAAGCTAAAATCACAAAAGGATAATGTAATTTAATTGCCTGCTCTTACATGTTTAATGCGTGCACACACATACACGCACACACATACACATACAAACTCTTAGCCAAAAGTCAGTTTATTTTGTATTGCTCCTAGAATTGCCCCACGATCAGAAACTAACACTATGCTTATCAAACCTAAAGGACTTTATACATTGTACAAAATACAATAAACAACCTAAAATTACCATTTCAATCTCACCTGAAAGACTCAGAGAAACAACTCAGCTACCTGTGCACAGTCCCTGCTTGATCTCACTAAAGAAGTTACCTTTCCATCGAGGTTTTCCCAATGCACACATGTAATTAATACTCACCAGTATGTCCTCATTTTCATTGGGGTATTTTAGTTTGAGATTCCCAGCTGCCACTAACACCGCTTTCACTGCTCGCATTCCGTAGTCATAATGAAACTGTGAGGACAGCTGCTCTGAGCACAGCCTGTAGGTCATCACTATCTTCACAGACAGAGGTTTTGCGTTCAGAAATCCATAGGAGTAGAGGGAGATTTCTGCGATGAGGGCATAGTTTGGAACCATCATAGCTACTGTTCTGAAAAGAACCTGAGGCACATAACAAATGAAATACATGATTTACAAAAAGAAGCCATTTTTAAAGCTAAGAAGAAGCAGGATTCAAAGAGGTGGATAGTCAGGTTTATTCTCTAAATGCAACACCTACTTACAAACTACTTTTTTTCAGCAGTAGTTAAATGTTTGTATTACTTGATAGTTTGGGACTTCTAAAACCACTTTTGGAAGCTGGGCAAGGAAGCATAACTATGGAATACTGGCCACCCAAGAGACTGAAACGGGAGGAGTGCAAGTCCAATCCCAGCCTTGGCAATTTAGTGAGACTATCTCAAGTTTGTTTAATAAACTCAGCCTTGGGTGGCAGTTCAGTGGTAGAGGGCTTGTTTAGTATGTGTGAGTCCAAGCCCCTGTATCACCAAACAAACAAGTGCTTGGAGCTTTAACTTATACCACATGGAAAAGGGAAGAAGGAAATGACGAACAAACAAACTTATACTTCCAAAAAAAATCACCTTGAGGTTGTCTGGCAACTCAGAACGTCCTGCATAGCCAGGATTCATAGTAATAGCTACAAAACAGTTTGGATTGAGTTTAAGTTCTGTCCCTTCAAAAACAAACACGTCTAGTTTCTGCTGAATCGCTCTCTGAATGCAAAGAATCTGCTGCGCCACCACAGACAGCACTTCCAGTTCAATTCGATTAAACTCATCAAAGCAAGCCCAAGCGCCCGAAGAAGCCAGTCCTTTAAAAAACTGAGAGGGAGGCAAATGGTTAATTTTCTTGTTTGTTTTTGTTTGTTTGTTTCTTTGTTTTTTTAAAAAAGACATTTGACCTTCTAACTCAAAATCAGAATTAAGCTTAAAAAGCTCCAAGGATATTACCTTTACCACTAAAATCAAAGCTCCATTAACACGTAAACTACAGCCCAGGACTATTAGCACAGGAATTTGCCTAAGTGTGCCCAGGAAGACCTAGCTGGAAGTCCGTGGCATCTGATACTCCTCCTACCTTTCCCATTGCGAGATAGTCTAGCCCATCAGAGCAGTTGAACACTACACACTGCACAGCCAGGGCTTTAGCCAGGTCCTTGGTGGTTTCCGTCTTTCCTGTGCCTGCTGGTCCTTCTGGAGCACCTCCAAGGTTTAAATAGAAGGCACCTATCTGAAAAATAAACAGTTTGTGTGAAAAGAATCTATGATTAGCTGAAACAAGCAAATTAACAAAGAAATAGACAGTCATTGGCCAAGCGAACTTATTTGTATTTGTAGCTCCGGGGAAGCCAGGTATGATGATATTGTTCTCTTTCAGCGTAGAAGTCTGTGACTATACAAATAGAATGTTTAAAGGGTCTCCACAGCTGTAAACTGTAACTAAATCTCCTGGTTGTCTAATTCTTCACACGTACTAGTTCTCCCTTCAAGAACAGAAAGTCTAGCTCTGAGGGAGTAAAATTAACTCTGGATGCTTTTCTTCAGAAGGTAGATGTGGAGATCTAGGTAGAAGAAAGACACTTCTAGGTAGAAGAAAGACACTTTCTATGGCTAGTTGCAAAGAGAGTAAAAGAGAGCACAGCAGTATGGGTGGGTCTAGATTTGGAAGACAAACAAATGTGCCATCTATGATGTCTCTGGACTGTGCTCTTTACTCTTGGTACGTTCTCCATTTCCTGCATCCCCAAAGAACTGTCTGAGTTTCTCTCACCACCACCATCACTTCCCACTTTGTATTATAGTTGATATGCATTCTTCTTTTTCATCAGTCAGAGTTTAAATTCAGTAGTGTATGAATCATTTCTCTAATAAATCATATGCACAAGAATCCTAGCATCATCTGCTACTAGAGAACTCAACTTTACACTGTAACCACTCAGCATTTAATGGGTGGCTGTTTCTTCATGTCCCTCCTCCATTCCCAAGTTAGGGCAGACGCAGCAAATGAAAATGCACAGGGAAACTTAAATTTCAGATGAGCAATGGATGATTTGTTAACAGTTCCCTTGCTTCCTTTACATTATTTAGAGCACACACACACACACACACATCACACACTACATATGATGCTTCATTTAACAGTAGATGGTGCCACTAACATATGCCATATAGCCTCTTCCTGTTGGCCATAAGCACCTAGTTTTATGGAACATCTAGTGTTGCAAATGCATATTTTTTTGCATTTGCATGAGACTGTATGTCTAGCCTTAAGTGACACCAGACACATGAATATATTTTCAATCACTTGAAATTTAGATTTAACTAGAAGTTCTAGATCTATCATTATTGTGGACTTTTGGTAGTTGTACTTCTGTCTTCCCAGAGATAACTTAAAAGAGAGGCCAGAGAGATGGCAAAGCAGGTAAAGGTATTTGACACTAACACTGACAACCTGAGTTTACTCCCTAGGTCCCATAAAGTAGGAGAGAACACAGTCCTGAAAGTTGTTCTCTGACCAGGGCACAGGCAGCACCCCACTCTCACACACACATACACACATAAATAATTGTAAAAATGTTTTAAACAAATGAGGAGAAGAAAATAAATTCTATACCAAAAAGTAAAATTTAATGTGTGAACAAAGTAATGTAAGTGCATACCAATGTTCTGTAACATCTGTCAGTTAAAGGAGTTATGACAAGTCGGGGTGAGTTGCCAAGATACTCATAAGCATATTTTACGTTGCAGTTAATGATTCGAACTCGAGCATTCTCAGATTCCCAGTAATACCGAAGTTGAGCGAGCCACTGGAAGTCTGTATCATGTGAGACACCTAGAAAGAATGAAATAAAATTACTAAGTGAATATGATTTGAAAAGTAATATTTTATTATCACAGCAAATAATAAAATAATTCATGTTTTCAAATTAAAGAAAAGATCATTCACCAGGTGATGGTGGTGCTTGCCTTTAATCCCAGCAATCAGAGGCATCAGGGGCAGGCAGATCCTGTGAGTTTGAGGCCAGCCTAGTCTACATAGCTAGTTCCAGAACAGCCAGGGCCACACAGAGAAAGCCTGTCTCAAAAAACAAACAAAAAGAAAGAAAACAAAAGATTATTCAAAAAGAAATCCTGTTAAGAAAAACCTCATGTCTTGGTTTCTTAGACACCATCCATACTTTACATTTTATATTAAAGAGACAGTCACCTACCCATTTCAATCATGTCCATGACGACATCTCTAGCGTGGACATCAATCGTAACCAAAGCCCCCAGTGTGATCCTGGTCTGCTTAGACAACTTCCCTCTCACCAGCTCCACAATGTCATTTAGTTGATACTGAAGTTCCTTGTAGTATTTCTTTAATCCCTACAAAATAGCAGCAGTTTAATTGACGTTATACACACACACACACTCACACACACACACACACACACACACACATGTATGGCTACGCATACACTTACTTATTTATGGAATAACTTTGACTTCATAATCTATTTCAAAATATAAGTGAGTTACAGAGTGAGTCTGTCTAAGCCTAGTAAAAATAACAAGCTTTCAAAAATGTTAATGCTGCATATAGAAATGACAAAGAACAGACAAGAAAACTAAAATATGAAACAAGAAAAAGAATGCTGCAGTTTAAAATCAAATGATGCTTTACCTCTGTTCCACCACTTATGACTTCCTGTGTCTCAGAAGTCCAGAACATTTGAGACACACAAAGAACAACCTGGCCAGGCCACTCTCTGACCCAGTCTTTTCTTGCAGATTCTGGATAAGCCTGAATAATTAAAATAAATTCCTATGTTTAAAAGGTTACAAGAGAAAAGAGAGCTGTGAACGTCTAACATTTTTAAAATTCTTTTGCTGGGTTAGTTGTCAAGTTTTTGACGAACAATACAAATTATTTCTATTATAAGGAAAATATAAAGATTTCATCAAACCATTTGAAAAGCCATACATAAGGAGGGTGAAGGTTATGAAATGGGTTTATGCTTAAGTATAGTTTATGAATGTGCAAAGGCTTACAAACAAGTTAAATATAATATATATTGATGTCGAATTTTAATTGAAAAGGAAACTTGCTGGCTAATGTTGTCAACTTGGCAAAATCTAGAGTCACTGGGGAGACAGGCCTCTGGCATGACTATGGGGTATAACTTGATTAGGTTGATTCAAGAAGACTGGTCCTAACTGCGGGTGGGACTATTCACTGGTCAGACGACTCTGGTATGTATAAAATAAAGCAAGCAAGCTAATCACTAGCAAGCACTCATGGCTTTCTCCTTTCTGGCTTTGGCTGTACTGTGGCCAGCTGCTTTTGGCTCCTGCTGTCTTGACTCCCCTGACACAATGGACTGTACCTTGAATTGTGAGCTAAAATAAACACCTCCTTCCTTGAGTTGCTTAGATGAGGTTATTTTATCATAGCAACATAGCAACTAAGACAGAGACCATATAACATATTGAAAAACTGGGCTAGTAGTTAGAATGTTTATGTCACTTATATAACTTTTCTAGAAACTTATATAACCAGGCTATATGATTACACTTATTAAATTATATACACCTTAACAATATGTACATTTGAATTTGAAATGTGCTTCTTTCTACTCCTAATACTTTCCTGTTTCAAAGCTTTAAATGTATTTTGGAAGGAAGACTTAATAGTTTAAAAGTACCTTGCCTTGATAACAAATGGTAACAGCAAATACAAATTATAAATTAAAAAACTTTATAGAATGAATTTTCAAATTGATGCTAATGGAAATTATTCTTTTAAAATAACTCATTAAATATAAGAATATAGATATGTTATTTATAAAATATTTCTTATTGAAGTACTTATAGCTACATTCAAATAACAGAGTAACTTAAGTGCTAAGGAAAAGTAGTGACATGTGGCAGGTACATTTTCTATGCCAGTGAAGGTATTAATTACATCATGGACAAAGTTGATGCTTTCCTGTGTGTTTTTAGTTTGTTTGGAATCATAGAGAAAGGAGAAAAATGAGATCAAGTTGCAAAAACAATGATGCTGCAGAAAAGCCATCTCAAGAAAATGAACGCTGGGCTAGAGAGGTTACTCAGTGATGAAACATGTGTAACATTCTCCCAGAGGACCATCTCCCAGAAGACCAGAGTCCAGTTCCCAGCACCCGTGTCTGGCTGCTCCCAACTGGCAGTAACTCCAGTTCCAGAGGGATGTGATGTCTCTGGCCTCCATGGGTACTTGCAGTGATGTGCACATACTCTCAAAGAGAGGCACATAAATACTATGCATAATTAAAACAATAATTTTGAAAGAGAAGCTTCATAGGGCCCTTTAAGAGAAGGCTGTCTCACTCATGCAGTGACTTCCTGGAAATCGGCTGCAAGGGCTTTTCAAACTACTCCCACTGCACAGCTGCTCCTTTGTGGTGTTAAAGGCAGAACAAGGTAACACACACATTTCAAGATTGGAATATTTTGGTTAGCATTAAGTGAGGTACATAAAAGTATCCAGGTGCTATATTTCCTTCAATTTATAATGTACTCATGTACGTTCAACTCGTTAGAGGTTTAAAGTAGTTAAGTCTCAAAAGCAACAAATGAACTAGATAATTTACTTAGTACCATGTTTGAGAGGGTCTGACCTATAGATCAGCAAATATTAAAGCACATGGCTGTTTGCCTTCTAGAAATATGTAAGTAGCACTGCAGTGTTCTGTTTGTTGTTGTTGTTTTTTTAAGATTTGATTTACTTATTTATTGTGGGTGTGGGGATACATGCCAAAGTGCAGGTGTGACAATCAATAGATAACACATGAGAGTCAGCTCCCCGTTCCCATCACATGGATTTTAGGGATGCAACTCAGACTGTCAGGCTTGGCAGCAAGAACCTTTACCTGGTTAGCCATTTCTATGGGTTTGTTGTTTGTTTGTTTGCTTGTTTTGTTGTTGTGAGATAGAGTTACTTTGTAGCTCAAGCTGGAACTGAAACTGTGTAACCCATGTTGGCCTCAAACTCTGGGCAGTACACCTTCCCCATCTTCTCCAGTGCTGACATTGTAGCTGTGAGCTACTGTATCTGGTCTGCGGAGAGCTTTTGAGGCCGCTTGGCAGGAATCTGACATTGGCCAAGGACAAGGAAATGGGCTTTAGGCAGGAATCTAACACTGGGCCATGACAAGGAAGTAATTTCAGTCAGGAATCTAAATCTTAGGCTAGAACAAAAAAAGCAGGCTTCAAGCATGAATATGACTGTGCGCTAGGACAGGGAAGTAGGCTCAGATATTTTGGTCATCCTGATAAGCCCTTAGAAAGTGATTATGGGAGTGATCACGGGACTTTGTTTATTGTCTTGCTTGCTCCTTGACTATTTGCATCTATTGTATTGCTAGTTCCTCAACCAGAACTAACCTTCATATTTGCATGTAATTAAAATGGTATAAAAGCAAATTGGGGAAAAGTAAACCCGCCTTCAGCCTCAGAACTGGCTGGGGTCCTGCTACAATGTTGTCTAATCGTCTTTTTTCTTTTTAATCCTCGCTTCTGCACTGGAGAACCTGTTGACTGACTGAGCTGGCTTGGTCTCTGGTACATTTCAGTTTTGACATTTATAAAACAAAATTCTGATCTTTGACTAGCCGTCACAGACCTACTTCTCTTCTCAGCATTCCTTTAGAGTAAATCTCACCTATATGTTCATGTCAAAAATATTAAAGTAATTCTTGAGACCTTCTCCCTTCTCCCCCTTTTACTGTACAATCAGTTTAAGGCCTGTCAAAATTGGATACAAATATATTTCTCTAATAGTGTCTAATTTCCTCCATTTCTCCACCACTTGTCCAGTGTCAGCCTGTACATCTATCTTCTAGGCTAATTCAAGGCTCTCTTAATTTGTCTTCCTGTTTTGATAGTCTACTAATTCATTCTTTATATCGTAGTCCTAATGGTATAAAAATATAAACCAGATTATGACTTTACCCTGATTAAAATACTCTTAACCTTCCTGTGTAAATAAAACAACTCCCTGCACATCTTCCTTTCCACCTTCTGTGTTCTTCATTCTCTGTTATATTCACTCTACTGCAGGTGCAGAGGTCTTCTCACAGTCCTGCAACCTTTTTGTGCCTCAGTCTTTACACAGGGTACCAATATGCCTGCTCTTTTTTTTCTTTGTATTTTTATTTTTTATTTATTAATCATTTTATTCAAAACATTTCAAATCATATCTCCCTTCCTGGTTTCCCCTCTATTAAACCCCCCTATCCCATCCTCCCTCCCCTTTGCCTCTAAGAGGGTGCTCCCCCACCCACCCACTCCCACCTCACTGCTCTAGCATTCCCCTATGCTGGAGCATCAAGCCTCCACAGGACCAAAGCCCTTCCCGCATTGATACCAGATAAGGCCATCCTCCGCTACATATGCAGCTAGAGCCATGGGTCCCTCCTCTTTATCTAGTTATTTTCTCTTTCTCTTTCATATCTCAGACTCAGTCTAACTTCCTTTGTGAGCCTATCCTTGCATCTTCACCTATTCTAAACAGATATACTTTATTATTCTCTCTGATAGTACATTTTCCTTTGATAACATACCAGTATTGCTGTGTGTGTTATTAAGTCTATTATTCTTACCAATTCTTACTAGTAATGTTAAAAATACAGAGAAAAAATAACATTCACCAAATGAACGAACAAACAGACAAACAACAGCATTTGTAGGATAGAGTATCCCTTTAGTCCTAGGAGACATACCAGTCTGGAGGCAGCAATCACATCATGGATACTTCTGAGCATTAGGTCTTCTACTTGGATGAGCCATTTCTCTACAGCGCCCCTTGCTGCAGATGTGGAGATCAGTGCAATCAGCTCCACTCGCTCTCCCTCTGAGCTATACATGGCTTTAATATCCAGATTAGTCAGGAACTCCAATTTAGCGATGCCCTCAAAGCATTTTTTTAAGTGTGGCTGAACTCTGAGTGGATCTTTGGTCTCTGACAAAATCTCTAGCATTTCATCATTAGATAAAAAGAAAAAGCTAGAAAAGAAATATGGGAATAGAAAAAAAAAAAACCCCTTAGTGGCAACTCATCACACAGCAGAAGACATGTTCAATGATAGCACAGTGGATCGTCTACCATACCGAGGGAAGAAAAGTCGCTTCTTCTCAAGGTATGCATTCAGTCCTTTCATGATTTTCTCCAGAAGGTCATTGCAATTCTGTAGTTTTTCCAATAAGCCTGTTAAAGAAGTAGCAGCAAGCACCTAAAAGACACAGACTCATATAAGACATACTTATGTGCTTGACATCAGCACTAAGGTATAGATGTAAACCATTAACTGTTTTGAAATGTTATGAAATCAGTAGTGAAATATTCCCTCCCCTTACTTTTGAAACAGAGCTCACTATGTAGCTCAGGCTGGCCATGGACTTTTTGCTCTAGCCCCCAAATGCTAGGACTGTACAAACCACATCCAGCTTTGAAATTTCTTTTATAATATAAAAATTACACAATTCACTACATCATAAATATTATAACATAATAAAATGAGTTCCAAATGATGTTATTGTTATCATGTACATTTTTATTATTATTTATTTATTATTTTAGGTTTGTAACTGTGAATTTTAATCTACAGCAGGTTTTGGCAATCTACATCTCACTGGCCAAATCTAACCCTACTAGCTTTTGTATAGTCCTCGAACTAAGAATGTTTTTTATACTTTCAGAAGGTTAAAAAAAATCAAAGGAGGACTAGGGAAATATCTCAGTTGGCAGCATGCTTGCTTAGCATGTATGAGGTGTAGGGTTCTGTTGCCAGCACCATATATACACTGAGTGTGCTGGCCCATGGCTGTAACCCCACGCTTTCACAGGTAGGTGCAGGAGGATCAGAAGTTCAAAGTCATTCTCAGCTACATAGAGAATTTAAAGCAACTTGGGCTAGAGGCCGTGTCTCAAAAAATTAAATTAAATTATAAAAATGAAGGTAATAATGCCATTTCATAACCTAAGTAAAAATGTTGTCAGTGTCTATAAGCAAAGTTTTATTATGGTGGAAACATTCCCATTTGTCATGTGTCAGTTCTGGCTGATTTTCACTAGCTGATGGGAGAAGAAAGGATTAAAAATAGACTGCATGCCTCACAAAGCCTAGAGAAACATATTAACTGGCTCACAAAGCCTAGAGAACCATATTAACTGGCTCACAAAGCCTAGAGAAACATAATAACTGGCTCTTCGCGGAAGATTGCTGACCTCTAATCTATACAAAATCATGTACAATCTCCAAAAGTAAAAAAGGGAAGATTAACTTTCTCGAAACTCATACATTTCTCTAATTAATGCTCAATAATTCTAGTATTTATTTACTTTTTCTCTCAGCATTGGAAAAAGTTATTCATTAAGTCAAATACATTTTAAAAGTAGATGCACAGCTATGGTTTATGCTAAATGTGTGAAAAACACTGGCTTTCAGCATTAGAATCCTGTACAAGGTGCTCTTAATAGGAAAGACACACAGGAACTGAGACCAATTGAGGTCTCAACTGTTTCCCCTGATTAACTCTTCCAAGCAAACACAGGACCTCTTGTGTTGATCACACTTTCTCCATCCTCTGCTATATCTCATTGTTTTACATATCTGTTTACTTTCTGAGGTGGTTGAATATAGTGAGAGTCAATTCAGTTAACTGTTCATCTAAAGTAGTTACACTGTGTGTATGTGTGTGTTGCAATAGTACTTTTATGAAGTGAAAAATAAAATTATTTTGATACTTTCAAACATATTTTTATGACCTTACATTTTATGAACTTTCCAATTTGTATACAATGAGTGAGTTGTGTTTTAATAATCAGGAAAAATGTCAAATGCTTTCTTTAAAAATTCCAGATAAGGTTCACTTGTTATAAGAAAGAAAACAAACTCTTCACCTTTGGATCTTTAGCACAAAACTTCATGATGTCCTTCCAGTGTCTGTCTACTGTCTGGAACTGCCGTCCTTCCTCTGGCATCTGCTGCATGATGTCCTCAGAACAGAAGATGGGCTCTAAGTACAGCCACTGAGCTTGTACTTTCAACCATTCATCAATTGTCTCCTGGATTCGAATCAGACGGTCTTCCCAGGCCTTAAAGAAAAGCATACTATACTAAATTTCAGCTTTCAAAAGGAAAGAAAAGCTATAAATTATAGGGGGAAAGTATTTAGAATTCACTATTGTTTTAATATCAACACAAAACAGGTCACTTATAGGAGCCTCACCTAGGCTTAGAAAAGACATAGGCAGTACAAGGTTTCCCTAAGTCGCTTTGGTAGTGATTGTAAAGCTATTTCATTTCCTCATCTCTCCAGAAATCACTCCAAATCCTCAATGTATATCCTGCTCTACACCAGGGATTATCAACTATGAATGATGCTGTTCTACATACCAGGCAATATTTCAGCGTCTGAAACATCACAATGTCTGAGCTATCACAATGTTAATTATTACAGCTAATTCAGGGAGGATGCTGTTAATATCTCATGGATGGAGGCCAGAGATACTGCAAAATGTGCTTCAATTTTCAGGTCAGTCTCCTCAACAAAGAATTATTCAGCCCAGGACCAGAGAGATGGCTTAGTGGGTAAAAGCACTTCCCGCTAAGACTGATGTTCAGAGTTTGGTGCCTAAAAATGGGGGCCCACACAATGGAAGGAGAGAATGGTTGTCTACAAATTGTCATCTGACCTCAGCACATGCACTGTGACATCCCTGTATGCACACACATACACAAACACACACACAGTAAGAAATAAGTATATAAAGAAAGGAATGTGTATGTATGTGTATATGTATATATAAAACTATTCAGCTCCAAATATTTATAGTGTAAAGTTGAATGATCTTGCTCTAAATCAGCACAGTTTGAAGAAAATTTAGAATAAAGTAAAGTAAGCCTCCTTATCCTCAGAGATTACCTAGAGTTAGTAAGTGAATAGCTTAAGGTCTTGGGTTTGGAGTTTCATCTCTATTTTTTTTAAAAACCATAAAAGAGCTTCTAAATTACTCTTCTTAAACAAGAACTTTCTAACATATGTGTGTGTTATATGTGTGTTCTAACATAATATGTATGTTTCTAACACACACACACACACACACACACACACACACACACACACATATATATGTATTAAACAAAAAAGTCCAGGCTAGCCAGGTTTATAGGAACATATCCAGTGTTACATCCTCCTTGAAAACCGCAATGTTTTCTCCAAATACTGGCAGCCAAGATCGTCCATGAAGCACTGTTAATGCTAGAATTAAGTATTTCATATTATAAAATTGTATCAAAACATCACGGTGTACCAAATAAATATGTAAGGTTGCTACTTGTCAGTTAAAAATACAATTAAAAATTGTATCTGGTTTAAAAAAACCAACTGCTTTTGTTTAAATCTCAATCCTATCACTTAAAAGCTAAGTGAATTTGGGGAAATTGCCCATCCTTAGTTTTCTTATCTATTTAGATAAATAATAATATCGCCTACCATGAAGGTCTGCTGTGGGGATTAAATCAGTTAGTAAATATGAAGTCACTAAACCAGTGACCAATATAGGAAACATCAATCAAAACTGGAATCAACAAGTCAGTGATTTCTCTTTTCCTCAATTTATATAGCCCCCAGTTCAAACTCTTGAGTTGGAGGACAGAGCTTCTGAGTACAAACATCCTGTCAAGTTGGTTCTTTGTTTCAAATAAAATCAAGGAACTAAGTTAAATCAGCCAAGATTACCCAGATCCTCTTCCAGGTAGTGTAGAATACTTTTTTAATGATATGTAGAGGAACTTCTCTCTGTCACAAGCATGATATTTGTTTGTTTGTTTATTCATCTTTTTGTCATGTAGTTCAGGCTGGCCTCTAACTCTCTAGGTAATTTAGGTTAGATTGGAATACATGTTGATTCCCCTGCCTCAGATTCCTGAGTGCTGGGATTACAAGCTTTGCTAGGAGCAGCTAAGTAGTAATCTCTAATTGTGCATGTACAAGAATGTGCCTACCTGGCTACCATTACAGTAGATGACTACATTAGAGACATTTATCTCTTCAGTGTAAATGTCATCACACACATACACACACACACAAAAACACAGACACACACACTGTACCAAATTCCATTACTTTCTTTGCTCAATGTTTTAGGAGTTATCCTCAGCTCTTCCCTTGCTTTATACAGTTTATAACTAACTCTTTCTTAATTTTTTATCTCTTGGTTGAACTTTTTGACTTCGTACTCACTAAGGGGCAAAAACACTGGACTTCATTATACTATGAAGCTATTACCATAATTTGTATTTTTTCCATAGTTACCCATATCAACAATAAAGAGATATCATTTATTTTTTTCTGAAGTGGATAGTAGTTGTAAATTGTGTGGGAGATCTTTAAATCTCCAACCCAAATATGACCAGTCAAAGAAAACAAAAGTCAGTAATTATGAATATATTCTATAAACCTAGATTGGGCAGATACCCCTACACTACTCTGTTCCCCAGTTATGAGACCCTTATAACTTGAGGGTTTTCCAGACCCTGCATCTGTCCTTCTACCTCCTCCTTCCCAGTCGTCCTCTCCTTCGTCGTCTTCCTCCATTGTCTTCCTCCAGTCCTCATAAAAATAGCAATTCATTAATTACCCTCATGCTTGTTGCTCACAAATAGAAAACTGACCCAGAGAATTCTACTATGAGGCTAAAGTGTAATACGCAATCTGTGCTTTCTAAAATTAGAAATTAGCATATTTAAAAATTCTTAAGAATGAAGTTTTTAAATTTCAGTTGCTATAAAGTCTGCTTTCCAGTCTACAGTGTGCATTTAATGTGTGTAAGGTCCTAATTACAGAAAGGAAGGCAAGTGAGGAATGAGGAGAGAAGGAGGGAGAGAGGGAGGGAAGACGTGGGAACAGAGTGAGGCATGGAGGCTCATGCTGCGAGTCAATACTCAACATCTGAGGCAGAACAATCATAGCCAGTTTGAGACGAGTGAGTACAAGGATAGCCCAAAATGCAGAGTGAGTGCATGTCTCAAGAAAAAGAGGAGGAAGAGGAGAAGGAAGGGAAAAGAAGAGAGAATGGGAAAGAAAGGAAGGGAAGAGAAAGAACAGGAAGGAAGGGAAGGGAAGAGAAAGAATGAGAAGCTGTTCCCCTCCTGGCACTATCATTTGTTCAGGATATTTGATCACACTGTGAACCCTGAGATTGCGTTGTTTACTGGAAAAACCTGTTTCTAGTTGTATTGTCTCAACTTTAGCACACACCTTTACTCCCTCTGTCTGGAATACAGGAAACACCCTTAGTAAACACCTTTAATCCCAAACAATAAAGATAAAGTTAGTTTGTAGAAGGAAGCACCCATGTTTGAAAGTGTTGTCTAATTGTGTGGCAAAGTGACAAATGAGAGAAAGATTTGACAGAATAAGGTGTGCCTGACTCTCACAAGAACAGAGAAGGAAGGGAAGCTACTTAAGAGAGAGCAACACAGAGAAAGTGAGGGAACAGTTTTACCAGGAAAGTTTTACAGAGACTGGTTGAAGAGAGAACAAGCTAGACACAGGTAAACACAGAAGGCGCAACAGGATGAGAAGGAGCCAGAAGATTAGAACAGATTACTAGAATTAGCCTGAGGCCAAGCAGAGCAATTCAGTTAGAGGCTTAGAGTAAAGCCAGAGTGAATCAGTTGGTTTGAGAGGAGTTTGAGCCAGAACAGCTAAGTTGAACCAGTCTAACCGGAGATCAGAAAGAGCTAGAAAGGGTGAGCTTATTCAGCAGCAAGTCTCAGAGGCTGAAAACTTTCTAGGCCTAGATTAGATTGTATGGAGGATAGAAGCTTCCAGGACTAGCAGTAAGCCTCAGAAGAATAAAAGTTACACTTATAATCATTGAATAAAAAATCTTATAAAATGTGATTTTCTTCTCAAAAACATTAATCTCTTAAACCTATTGCATGTTAATTTTTTTGTTTATTTTAAATGTTCATATGTGTGGGTGTTTAGCCTTTATATTGTTTACCATGTGCATGCAGTACCATCCAGAGCCAGGAGAGGGCATCCGATCCTTTGAAACTGCAGTTACAGAAGGTTATTAACCATCACAATGTCTCTTCAGCCTCCTATTGCATGTTAATTTCCAAATATGTATTTCTGTATCTCACCACATAAAATACCAAGGATCAGTTACATCACTTGAGTAGACACTTTAAGAGCCATCCAAGGGATGGCTCAGAGATGGCCCAGTGGTTAAGAGTACTGACTGCCCTTCCAGAGGTTGTGAGTTCAATTCCCAGCAACCACATGGTGGCTCACAACCATCTGTAATAAGATCCAATTCCCTTTTCTGGTGTGTCTGAAGAGAGTGACATTGTACTCACATACATAATATAAATAAATAATTTTCTTTTAAAAAAAAAGAGCCATCCAAAAATATTTACGTGAGAACATATATGAACTAAGATATAAACATTTTTATAAATGACCAGGAGCTATCATATTTGACATACCTTGATCTCATTTTCAAATGGTTTGATAAAAGGTGAACCTCTCATTGTCTGAGTTTTTATAATCTGATCATCAAGAATTGCCTGAATCTCATCCACTGAAGAAAGGATACAGACTCCAGTATCACGATACAGACTTATATGAAAAGAAATATCATCCCAAGTTGCTATCATAGCATTCATGGCCCTCTCTAAGGAAAATTCCTGAAAGAGAGAAATGCAAAAAGAACTGGATGATCAAAATGGGAGTGGGGTGGGGGTTGGGGGATAGGATGATGGGAAAAGGAACTTATTTATGTTATTCAATTCCTCTGGGTAACTCAGTAAGCACTGTGTATATACCATAATCTCCATAACTGTCTGTGTCTGTCTGCTTGATATCTGTTATCTATCTATCTATCTATCTATCTATCTATCTATCTATCTATCATTTATCTATCAAAGAGGGGTCTTTTTTCAATAATTTAAAAGTTCTTTTGAAAGGCCATAGGCCTAGGATAAAACCAAACACTACCGTTCTACTGAAGGGATGTAGCGATAAAATGACATTCTGCTATACTCGTAGTCAGCCACCATCACGGAAGCTCCATCCTGCAAACTCAGAACAAACTCCGAGACCCACAACTGGACTATGTGCAGAGAGTGAGAGACCATGGAACACTCAGTCCTAAATGAGTTGTATCCATCAAATCCCTCCTCTCCAGACTCAGGGAATGCTGTGGAAGAGGAAATGGAAAGACAGTAAGAGCCAGAGGGGTAGGAGGACACCAGGAAACAAGGCCTTCCAAACAAAGCAAGACTGATGCACATATGAACTCATAGAGACTATATCAGTGTACAGAAGCCATGCACAGGACTTCACCAATTGCAGTTCCAGTGCTGGGTGGGGAATCCAGAAGCTATCACAAGGGTAATTCACAAAGGAGAAGCTAGCTTTCTCCAATGAACTCTCACTGAGTATATGAACCACTCTTAAGGGCAGGCCCCATGCCCAGAAGCAGATGTCCAGCAAACCTTAGAGTATTTTGCATATTGTATGTTATGGCTTCTAGTTTTACATTTCTATGGGATTCCTGTGTGTGCGAACAATCCAGTTGTTGTGTGTTTCTTGTGCTTTTTCTTTGGCTCTTCTGTTTGTTTTGTCCTATTCTGGTTTGTTTTATTATTATTTTTTAGATGCCTGTTTGATTTCTAATGAAAGAAAGAAAAAAAAAAAAGATGTGACTTGGGACCAGAGGGGGGAGGGGGAAGGAGAGTGTGGGAGGAGAATCCATAATAAGCATATATTGTATGAAAATTTTCTATTTTCAATTAAAAATAGAAAAAAATTCCTAAGGAAAATGAAGGTTTTTTTTTAAAGTTTAGTTACTATAAAAACTGCTAAAATGGACAACAGAATAAAATACTCACTGGATTATCTCTGAAGTGGCCTATTGCAGATAGCCTGTAGCTTGAAGTTTTCAGCATATTTTAAGAACCCTTTCTAAGGCCATACTGGGAATACACACACACACACACACACACACACACACACACACACACAGAGAGAGAGAGAGAGAGAGAGAGAGAGAGAGAGAGAGAGAGAGAGAATGCCACATATCTATCTATCCACCTAGGATTCTTAATGGAATAACCATGCACCAATATTAATATCAACCATCAACTGTATCAGCATGTGGCAGAATTAGGCAAATGTCAAAGGAGCAGTTTCTAGTCCACATTTCAGAGAGGTGAGCACATGTTTATATCATGAAAGGATGGTCTTCAATCATCACCCACTCCCTGTCTCTTCCCATTGCTGTCCTGTACTATATACATCACACCAAGACAAAACTGTGACCATCCGAGAACAAACCCAGCAAGTGCTTTATTTTCTCCACATGTTTACCTTACTTGCACCAGCACTTATAACTTCAAAACTTTCTAAGTATGGTGCAAGGTTTAATTTTAAGACTTTTCTCAGTGTAGTTCCAGAATCTGGAGTCAAGTCATAGCCCACAATTTCTGACATCTGTTTCCAGTGACGAGCTCTCATTCCTGGATTGCACAGGATGGAGACTGTAGGGATATATTCCTAAGGATGAAAACAAACAATAACATCATTTGACTTCTATACAGATGGATTCTATAAATCAAACTTTGATAATAGGAAATTTGAATTTCTTCAAATTACTTGAGTACCATAAAAACATCAGCTAGATTCAGAGGAAAGGAAGAAGGAACAAAAATATTCCAAATTTCATCTGCAATGTTAGGAATGTAAAATAATCAAGAAATTACCAAAGTAAGAATTAATAAGAAAAATTCCATGAACCTTAGTATCACAAAAAAATAAGGTACTTAATAACAAATTTAAGAAATGTGGGGGAACTACATAGTAAAAATTACAAATATAATTTTAAAAGAAATAGAGATCTAAATAACTGGAAAGATGCTAACATACTGGAAGAATAAATCATGTTAAGAACAGAGTAGAGGAGGGATATCAGGAAAGTATAATCAGTACAACAGACATTTTGAAAATGTTACCTAAAAACTCAGTACTATGGGGGCTTTCTAAAATATATACACATACATATATTTAAAGAGTTTATATGTAGTTACTCTATATCAGGGTAACAATGCCCCTGCTAAACACCACAGGTCAACATATAAAAAGCCAGGAATAGGTTACCTCTGTTGGAATAAAGAACCATAGACCCCCCCCCAAATATTACAGGTGTCTTAGTTAGGGTTTTACTGCTGTGAACAGACACCATGACCAAGGCAACTCTTATAAGGATAAGATTTTAACTGGGGCTGGCTTACAGGTTCAGAGGTTCAGTCCATTATCATCAAAGAAGGAGCATGACAGCATCCAGGCAGGCATGGGACAAGAGGAGCTGAGAGTTCTACATCTTCATCCAAAGGCAGACAGAAGAAAACTGGCTTCCATGGAGCTAGAATGAAGGTCTTAAAGCCTACGTCCACAATGACACACTTCCTCCAATGAGACCATACCTCCTAATAGTTCCACTCCCTAGGCCAAGCATTTTCTGATTTATTTATTTATTTATTTATTTATTTATTTATTTATTTGGATATTTTATTTATTTACATTTCAGAAGTCATCCTCTTTCCCCATTTCCCCTCCCTAGAAAAACCTCTATTCCATTCCCCTTCCTCCTTTTTGCTTTTATACCATTTTAATTATATACAAATATTAAGGTCAGTTGTAGGCTGAGGAACTAGCAATATAATAGATGCAAATAGTCAAGGAACAAGCAAGACAGTAAACACAAATAGTCAAAGAACAAGCAAGGCAATAAACAAAGTTCCATGAACATTCTCATGATCACTATTTCTAAGGGCTTATCAGGATGACCGAAATATCTGAGCCTATTTCCCTGTCCTAGCACAAGGTCATTTTCATGTCTTCCTTGTTCTAGCCTAAGATTTAGACTCCTGCCTGAAATTACTTCTTTGTTCTAGCCTAATGTCAGAATCCTGCCTGAAGCTCCCACTTCCTTGTCCTTGGCAAATGTCAAGCAGCCCATTTCCTTGTCCCTGGTCCATGTCAGATTCTTGCCAAAGCAGGCCCAAAAGCTCTCCACCTCTCTCCCTTTTTTATTTCATAAACAAGACTGAGCCTGTCTTAGGTTGTTCTGACTAGAATGTCTTCCTTACCCGTTGTGGAATGTATTATCAAAAGCAATGCACTTCTGTCTTAAGTTGGCAAAGCTCTGTGCAGAATCACCCACAGTGACACACTTCCTCCAATAAGGCCACACTTCCTAATAGTGCCACTCCATGGGTCAAGCATTTTCAAACCATCACAACACATCATTACCATTGCTCTTACTTACCCTCCAGAACCTTATTGTTGAAGATATCACACACTTTAGTTACAGAACATGGAGAAATCAAGCAGATACTAGCCTGGATAAGTCATACCTAATGCTTAATTTTTCTAATGCAGGAAGGTACTACCAGAAGACAAAAGTAATTTAGTCTTATCCAGCTGTGAATCCTGTGAGCTACAACTGTCCTGGTAAGATAAGCCCTCTTGTGCAATAGTAACATTCAAATGTTATGGGAGTAGTCAACCACTTTCTGATTGAACATAATGCCTACTGTACAAGGTAGAAACCATGCTTGGTACCATGATCAAGACCAAAAAGCTGTGGCCAGAGAGGCCCTAGGCCCTAGGAGGAGACCATACTACTGTTACTCTGCAAAATGGGCAGGGTGTTAAACTGAGTCCTAAGAACTCACTGTTACATCTATAGATTAATGGATCTCTCAAATCTCATCAGAGAAGCTTTTTTTTTTGTAGTAGATGATAATTAACACAGAAACTATAGCTGGACAAGGTGCAGAGAGTAAAGACTACAGTAATCACCCCTAAATGGGATATCACTATCACACCCTATCTTCCCAAGGCTCGAAGGTCATAACAGAGGAGTAGGTGAAAAGATGGCAAGAACTAGAGGCAGTGCATGACCCTAAGGAAACATGGTCTTCTGGACATAACAGGAAGGTAGTTGCATGTATGAACCCATAGTGGCTGTGATAACATGTACAAGACCTGTGCAAGCCCAAGCCAGACAAAATCCCACCAGTGGCTGAGGACAGTGACCATGAAGCCCTGTTTCTAGATTAGGAGCGATTGTTTATAGATAAGTGCTGAGAGAGGGAGAGTCAGTTTTTTTTTTTAAAGGCGTAGCCTCTGGTTGAGCAATCCTGCCATAGTGGATGGGCACACACCCAAGAGCACATGGGCAGCACAAATTGTACACTATGAGGGCACAAAGTTGGATGGGTATGGAAGGAGAGAATAGATCTGGAAGGATCTGGGATGAATGTAATCAAAATACAAGGTATGAGTGTTCTAAAGTGAAGATAACTTGGAGAAGAAAGAGTTTATTTGGCTTACAGGTTATAGACCATCATTGAGGAAAGCCAACACATGAACCTAGAGGCAGGAACTGAAGCAGAGCTCGTGGAAAAACACTGCCTGCTGGCTTGTTCTCCTTGGCTTGTTCAGCTAGTTTTCCTGGATATAGTAGTCTGGACTAGCATTTGTAGTCTCCCTACAAATGCAACCATACAGAAAGTGCTAAAAGGAAAACTACAACCCAAGGAGATTAACTACAGACTAACAGGATGGATGAAAAAAACAGGATCCATCCTGATGCTGCATCCAAGAAATACACTTCAACATCAAGGATAGACATTACCTCAGGGTAAAGGGTTGGAAAAAGATATTCCAAGCTAATAGACCCAAGAAGCAAGCTGGTACAGTCACTTTATTATCTAACAAAATAGACTTCAAAACCAAAACTCATCAAAGAGATGGGGAAGAACCTTACATACTCATCAGAGAAAAAATGCACCAAGAGGACATTTCAATTCTTAATATCCACACCTCAAACACAAAGGTACCCAAGATTGTAAAAGAAACACTAATACAGTTTAAGTCATATATTGATCCTCACACACCCATAGTAGGAGACGTCAATACTCAAGTCTCACCAACAGACTGATCATCCAGACAAAAAGCTAAACAGAGAATTGCTAGAGCTGACTGATAAAAAAAAAGGGGGGGTGGGGAATGGGTGGTGGGGGTCCTAACAGATATTTACAGAACATTTCACACAAACACAAAAAAGGAATTGAAGAAGGTATCTAGAAATGGAAAGATCTCCCATCCTCATGGTTTGATGGGATTAATATAGTAAAAATAGCAATTCTGACAAAAGCAATCTAAAAGTTCAACGGAATCCCACCAAAACTTCAACACAATCCTTCATAGATCCTGGAAGGCCAATTTTCAGCTTCATGATAAGACCCTGCTGCTGAAGACCCAATGCATTTTGGCTGTAGGACATATATCAAGTTGGAACTGACCAGAAAATTTCCCCAGTACTGGCTAGATTTCATAGTGATGGAAAGTATTATGCAAACTGCCGGGGAAGAAAAGACATCAGTGGTGTTACCTAGTGCTGGACCCTACATGCTACGATACCGACCTACCAGGCAAGATGCGTTTACAGGTACAATGGCGACATAAAGGCCGTTGGGATAATCAACCACTTTCTGGTGGGATCTAAGGTGTGCTTCACAAAAGGGAACCAATGCCTGGTACTATAACTGTAGTGACAAGCCCATGGCTCAGGAGGTCTCAGGCCCTAGAGGGAAACATGCTACTGTTGTTCCATTAAATACACAGGTCAAATTGCCTTCCAAATAGCTATGTATAGACTCATAGATTAGTACTGCTCTCATCTAGGCAAAGAAGCTTCTCGCTTTGGTGGGCAGCAGTCAATTCAGAGACTGTCAGAGTGCTAAGAATAAGTACCTATTGAGTGCTTAGAGTCAAATGAAACTTCTATATCACACACCTGCCTTGGGCTCAGGGAACAACATAGAGAGGCGAGTGTTAACAATAGAAGAGCCATGGGAAGGACCCATGGCTCCAGCTGTATATGTAGGGAAGGACGACCTTGTTGGGCATAGGTGGGAGAGGAGATCCTTGGTCCCATGAAGGCTGGACGTTGTGTGTGTGTGGGGGGGGGAGAATTTGAGGGTGGGGAGGTAGGAGTGGGGGTGGGGAGGCACATCCTTATAGAAGCAGGAGGAGGGGGCATGGGATGGGGGTTCCTGGGGCAGGAAGAAATGAGGTAAGGGGATAACATCTGAAATGTAAATAAAATATCCAATGAAAAAAGAAAGCCAGAGGATGTAAAGAAGCCTGTGAAATGCTATCTTCGAGATATGACATAATTGTCATGAATTGCTGTAGCTACATGTTACCTGTTTCAGGCCTACTCAATGTCAAGTGAACAAGATCAGATAACATTCTGGCAGACATCACTAATTGGACTGTTTTGTTGTTGTTGTTGTTGTTTTAAAGGAGAAGACATGAAGGGGTGGGAAAAGGAAGAACAATATGGGCCAGGAGCCAGGAGTAGGAGCTTATACCTGTAATCGCAGCACTGCCATTTTGAGACCAGTCCATGCTACCCAGTGAACAGGCTAAGTGTGTGGGGGGGGTACAGAATGAGCTTGTCTCAGTAAAAAGGGCAAAAGATCTGAAAAGACATTTCTCCAAGGAAGGCATGAAAATGGCCAATAAGTTTGTGAGAAGATATTCAGCCTTCAGGTAGATACAAGTCAAAACCATGAGATTTCACGTCATACTCACTAGAGTGGCCAAAGTCACCAACAATGATCATGGTAAGTGTTAAGTGTGTTATCCAGCAAGCACCAATCTCCATTTTTCTCTCATGTGACCCATGGGAATACTACTAAGCTGACTCCACAATACCAGAGGGACTGTGGGCACAGGTAAAGCACAGAAAATCCAGAGAAGGAGAAGCATATGTTACATAAAAAATAAATGTTATGATCAGTCTTATAGTAACAATTTTAACAATTTATGATATTCAAGGTAAATTAAGCAAAATAAGGCGGGTCATACCACATACTACATGTTATGTAAAGTAAGACAATATATTCACAGTTATATATGTAATAGATGTCTGAAAATACTCGAGAAAGTACCAACACTGACCATCTGAGTAAGAGAGGTGAGAGATGTGAGAGGAGAGCTTGCAGATATTCAGTTTTGGACCATAAATGGTATTAAACACTAAAAGCAATCCTTCAGTAGATTACTCCTTTTTTAATGAGGCACCCCCTTCAATCACTGGAAAGGTATGACACGGATAGGGCAGAACTTCAGTCACATCACAGACCGGTAGCCTGGGCATATTAGCTACACATTTGGCATCTCCACTAGAACCACTGGTGCATTACTGACTTGATAAAAGAAGGACATGACAGCTAGTGTGGTAGTCTGTGCCTGCAATTCTAGCACTGGAGAGGTAGAAGTAGGAGGATCATTAAGTTGAGGACAGCCTGAGCTACTTGAGTTCCCGGCCAGGTTGGGCTGCATGATAAAATGGATGTCATGGGTTCGATTCCAAGATTTACACGGAGGAAGGAGAAAACTCACTCCTGTGTGTTGTTCTCTGACTTCTAGGCACATGTAAGGCATGCATGTGCACGCACAGAAAGATGCACCTGAGGAGCCACAGTTGTCCTCTGGGCTCCACACATGGTGTGACTGAATGCCTGTACGTAAACATGCTCCTCCATACACAAATGCACAGTAAACACATTTACATGTGCATACACATTAATATTTTTGCCTAGAATGAAGGAGGTGGGAATTTGATCCAAAGCTGAGGCAAAAATATTTTAAAGCTGCACTGATGCTGTAGATCTGTTTCCATCTCTCGTCTGTTTTGGGTTTTGTGAGACAAGATCTTACTAGATGGCCCAGACTAGCCTGGAGCTTGTACTCCCTCTACCTCAGCCTCTAGGTGCTAGGATAAAAGGCATGTGCCACCATATCAGTCTCCATATTTTCCTTTTGTTTTAAGTATCAATGTCATTCTCTTGAAACAGCCATCTCAGAGCTACAGGGAGTTCACAACTTACCCTTTAAAGTATAAGAAGGAATCAAATTGAAGCCAATTTGAATAAATCTTCCATTTTGAATAGGGGTCAAGAAAAGTTTAAGTTCCCAAGACCTCCCTGGATGAATGACATCCTGGTTGGCAAATTGAGACATGAATGCTGGGCAAGTGACCTTGTCACAGCTGAACAAACCAACCAATGAGAACAGGATAAGGGTACCACAAGGAAATAGTCCTAGGTGGGAAATGTGACTGAAACTTGACACAGATGCTTGTGGCTTTTGTGATTTGTGTGCTTAAAAGCTCTATAGTATTCTGGCTTGGGGTCACAGTGACCCCATAACAGTGAGGAGAGAGAGACAGAGAGACAGAGAGACAGAGAGAGAGACAGAGAGACAGAGACTCCTTTCACAGAGTCAGTTTAAAAATGCCAAGAAGGAATATGATTAGCCCAGTTTGGGCTATATGATTACCCCAAACCAATTACCACAGCCATACGAGTGATGTATTAGGACTAGCTCATCTTGCAGCAGGTACTCAGAGGAAAAGACTGGTTAGTATTGATTAAACCCTTTTTACACGGAGCTGGACTAATGACATAGACAAAATCTAAGATCAGAGGATGGATTTTATATTTTATATAATACACAACTTAATATTGCGAACAGATGTATAATACTTAAATGCCATTTGAACACATTTGTACCTTAAAAGCCTTTATCTGCTCCATTACTGTTGCACACATAGTAATTGTAGGACTTTCTTTTGGTTCTTCCTCAGGTTTCTCTTCCATCAAAGATCGTTTTCTTGCTGCCTTTCTTCTTTCTTGTAATTCTTTCTTTTGCTTAGTGAGGAAGAACTTCAGAGTCTTAAAAACTTCTCGGGAAAACTCATCTATGTCAGCTTCCATGCTTTCTCCATTAAGGTCCAGAAACCCTCCATCCATCCACCTGAATTTGAAGGAAAAGCCATTTAAAACTCACATTTTTTTTAACTACGCAGAAGGATTAAAAAACTTTTGTGTAGATTCCTCATTTTTTTTCTGTAAGAGAGACAACTGAGGCACATAGGTAGAGCAGATGGAAAAAGAATAGATTCAATAGCATCATTTCAGCGGCAGTACCTGTGCTGAAACATGCATCCAATTACCAATAGGTAATAACACTATCTGAATAAATACAAACTTGACCCCACATATCTAACTTTGTGTGTTAGTAAACCAACTACATAAAATGCAAACTGACTAAGAACACTGCTTATATCATTTGCTTAATTTTTTTATTACGTTACCAAAAATTACCGTTTTTCTGTTCGCTGCCACTTCAGAACAAAATTAAAAAACTTGTGGTAGGGCTCAATGGTGACTTTTAATTTTTCCAGTTCAGGATACTTTGTCAATTCCCACTTGAAAAGTTCCTCTTCTTTATTAATAAACTGAACAGCTTCTTCCGATTCCTGAATACGCTTCTGTAGTTGTCTTACATCTGCCACGTACTAAAAACAAACAAATGTTCATTCTAGAAATATCTAGATGATATTATAACAAGATTGCACAATACTGCATCAGGTATGTTCTTTTATTTATACAGTGACTTTAAGTATTAGCTTCACAACATCACTATGATGAGGAATAAGATATTGTTATGTGCACTATATAATAATAAACTAAGTCACACAGTATCAGGCTTAAGAATCAAATAAACCTTTGTTTGACAAGGTAAATTCATGCTCGTTTATTTTGAAACCAGTGTTAATCTGTCTTGTATTAACCTATAGCTGGTTAATACAAGTCACAGTCACAGCCCTACATGTATCTAACCTGTTGCATTCGGTCCAGTTCTGCAAACTCTGTGAACTCGTCCATGCGACGTGATTCTTTTTCTATTTCCAAAATCAGTTTCTCTCTCTTGGCTATTAGTTCATTTTCTTTTGCATGTTTAGAATTCTCAATGAGCTTTTTAAAAAGATAATTTAATGATGTTAACTAATATAGTAGAAAGAAAAGAATTTTCAAAGAAAAACACAAATGTTTATAGTAATTTAAAGAAAAATGGAAACAGAATCATTGTCTGTAATGACTGATGTAAAAATGCAAAGAGTAAATCACAGAGAAAATTTTCCAAGAGCTTTCAAAGCACAAAATTATTAATATAGTTTGACTGTTTAATATATTCAGCATAATATTAAAAGCTAACATTTTTTTAGTATACACATACTATATATCAAGAGCTGTTAAGTGCCCTTTCTATGTTATTATTTTCTCTTCAAAGAAAAAGAGATATATGGAAGTTGAGAGGGATATCAAAGTTATAAGATCATAAAAGAAAAAAAATCTTGTCTATCTCATGCTTTTCGTTATTATTCTATTTTTGTCTCCCAATTCAGGATAAAGAAACTGATTACGTTTTAGGATTTTAAACTATATTCAATCTGATATAAAATCCTAAGTCTGCAACTTCCAATCTCTGTGAATTTGAACAAGTGAATCAACTTCTCTCTGAGTTTCATTTTAATCATCTATAAAATGAAGCAAATAGAAGCAGGTGGGATTTTATGAATATTTAATAATTTAATAAATAGAAACCACTTACTTCAGTACTTACTATTAATTTTCATAATGGTTTTGACCTCTTTGTTTTATCTTATATTTACTAAAGCTGGTAAGTTAAGCCTAGAAGCATGTTCTAAGCTGGCAAGACCATAACAGGTAAAAGACAGACACATCTACGCACATGAAGTTCTTGAAGTCAGTGGCAAGTTGGTATGGAAATAAAACATTCACACTGCACTTAAAATGCCAGAATGTGGAGCGTGAGATGGCTCAGCCAGTAAAGGTGCCTGCCGCTAAGACTAATAGCCTGAGTTCAATACCCAGGCCCTACAGGTAGAAGTAGAATCAACTCCTGAAAATTGTCCTTTTTTCTTCACATGCATGCCATAGTACACACACACACACACACACACACACACACACACACACACAGAGAGAGAGAGAGAGACAGAAACAGAGACAGAGAGACAGAGGCAGAGAGAGAGAGACAGAGGGAGAGAGAATGGAAAAAGGGAGGAGGGGAAATGATAGTAAATATGTCAGAACATGAATTATACACTTAAAAATATACTTACTTCATCATTCTCATCAAAGACAGGGGAGATTTTAGTAGGCCACAAGAGGACAGTTGAATTTAAATTTAAGTCTTCTTGAGACATTAGAAAAGCATCTAAAAAGTAACTCATTTGGCGTTTAGATTCCTACAAAAGAAACTCTAGATATATATATCATATAAAAAAGAATAGAGCCAACAATTTTTAATGTTCTTTCAAATTTAATATTTTATGCACTGTCCAACTCACATGGATATTTCAACAGCCTATTTCATATGTTTATTTGGCTTCAAGCCATATATCTATATACCTTAATGTAAGTTTTTAAGCACTTTAAATGTGTTAGTGGCACATGCCGGTAGGATTTGCTGGAGGAGGCAGAGGCAGGAGGACCACTAGGTTGAGGCCAGCCTGGGCTAGATGTTCTTAGCAGGGCATGATGGAGCATGTCTTTAACTCCAGCTCTCAGAGAGTAGAGGCAGAGGCAGGTAGATCTCTGTAAGTTTGAAGCCAGTCTAGTCTGTAAGTGAGTTCCAGGACAGCCAGGGATACACAGAGAAACTCTGCCTCAGAAGCAAAACACAAAACAACAACAGCAAACCCCAAAACAAAAACAAAACAAACAAAGATGGCTTAGTGTGCAATACACTTGTACACAAGACCTGAGTTTCACTCTTCAACACTAAACAGTAAACAGGTGTAGTGGTGTGTGCCTGTGATGCCCGAGTGTTGAAGGTGGACACAGGACAAGCTGAGGGATTAATTAACTGGAGAGACTAGCTGAGCAAGTGAACTCCAGATTCAGTGATAAACCCTACTAAACAAACAAAAGAGCAGGAGAGTGAGAGAGGAAGACACCCGATGCTGACTTCCGGCCTCCACACATAAAGACCATGTGCACCTCCCCCACAAACACACTTCCAGTTGCCAAGTGTTTTCTCACTTATTGTTGACTTAATATAAAGGTAACTTCTTTGACTCTTTGTATATGATTTTAAAGGGTAATCAAATGTTTGGCAATCTTTGAAACTTTTTATTTTAAAATATCTTAAATTATCTTTGTTATTATGATTCAGTTTTTAATTTTTGATGATACTTTTATCATCGTTTTTCTTATTCTACATCTCTAGTAATATTATCATCTTTTTGACTATTTAGCATAACAACAGTAGCCCAGAAAGCTCTGTGGTATGAAGGTCAAAGGAAAAAACACTTTGTACTGTAAATGTATCTAACTGGAGAGGCAGAATATTTTAATCCCTATGAACCTCACTGAATCACATGTTATACTGCAGTGCTATAACACTTAAAAAAAAAGTTGGGGATGGCAAGATGGTCTAGTAGGAAAAGCACGCCAACCTAAGTTAGATCCCTGGGAACCACACAGAGAGTGAGAACTGACCGACTCCCTCAGGCTGTTCTCTGACCTCCATACACAGGTCCTACCATGTGTACATTCCCACAGGGATCCATTAACCCATTCATTTATATGTAATTTTTAAAAAGTTGGGTCTAGTGGTTCTGATGTTCAAAAAGGAAGATGGTAAGTTCAAGGCATGCCTAGGCTATACTGTACAATTACCAAGACTCTCAGTCTCCTCCCTCTCCCTCTCCCTCTCCCCTCTCCTTCACACATATCTGAGAGAAATGAATGAATGTAGTCTCCAGGATCAATGCAGAGAAATGTTTTCTGCTGCATACTCATTAATAACAACAAATAATAATATTCAAATTTAAAAATGCTTTTGCGTGTGCAGGTAGAGGTACGTTTGTGTCTGTGTGTTATGGAGGCCAGAGGTCAATCTCTGGTATCACTCCTTAGGATCTACCTATATTATTTATTGATTGACTTTGGTTTTGTAAGACAAAACCAAAGCTCTCTCTGTAGCTCTGAAGGGACTGAGGTAGCAGAATAAACTCCATTTTGTTCTTAAGTCTCCATTCTAAGTTAACTTGTCTTTAGAGAGGCATGGCCCCCATCCTCCAGGTCTGAGAAAAGTCACAGTATGTCCCTGGCAGTTGCAATATAGACACAGCAGCTGCAGCTAGCGGATAGCAACAGAGTAGGCTAAGTAAACATAAGTCTTCCCGGGTCAGGATGCTCCTTTTTGATGTAGGCTCCCTGCTTGTGGTTTAACTGGGTGCTGTAAACCACTTAGCTTAAAGACCAACATTCCTTTACCCTCTCATGTAAAGCCAAAGCTTGGAAACCCCCAACCCCTTGCAGTTTTTTCCTTTATAAACCCCCTTCCCCTAGTCCTAGGGGTGGCTCTCCTATCCTGTTCCATCATCAGGAAGGCTTGTGGCCCAGGCTCATGAGCTTGAATAAAGACTCTCGTGTGCTTGCACCAGAGTTGTGGTTCCTGGCGGTCTCTTTGGGGTTTTTGCAATCTGGATGCAACAGCTCTGGCTGTCCTGGAAAATCACTATATAGACATGGCTGGCATTGAATTCACATAAATGCTCCTGCCTCTACCTCTAGAGTGCCCAGCTGCCCACCTTATTGTTTTCATAGAGTGTATCCCTGGCCTGGGGTTCCGTGATGAAAATAGATTAGCTTTGCAGCAAGCTCAGGATCCTCTGTTTCAGGCTCCCCTGCCCTAGCATTATAAGCATGCAACACCAGGCCCAGCTTTTTATGTGGATGCTGGCGATCAAGCTCAGGTCCTTGTGCTTGTGCAGGAAATTTAGAAACTAAATTATTGAACACTGATATGATATCAGAAAAGGACTACACTGAAAGGAAAGTAAGACGAAAAAGGTGACGTTAACTGATATTAACACTGGTAATGTGCAAAAGCATACAAACAAGATGACTCCTCTTCAATAAATATCAAAGTCAGGCCAACTATATGTATTAGAAACACACACTTAGTTGGCAAAGCTATAAAGGAGAGTAGGAAAGTGATAATCAAAACGAGGACAGTGTTCACACACTGACAGGACGGGCTGTGATGATGGGCATCTGTGGTGTTGCTTCTATTCTTTCCCTGGGTAGGAATTACTCATTTTAAAAACATCCTAAAGTGGGGGAGATATCCGGGGGGGTCTCCACCCTCTCGGAAGAGAAGGGAGGGGGAGGGGGAAGTACTGTGGGAAGGGGTGACTGGGAGGGGGCAGTGAGCAGGATGTAAAGTGAATAAGTAAAAATAAATAGAAACAGGGTGAAATGGGTACAGAACCTTGTTGAGGTTTTAAGACTACTACTGGATGTAGAGAGGCAAAAACGTTTTCTTAGTGTTAAGAATATGCACATAATTGGTGAAAATCAAGAACAGCAAACACACCACTTCAGAGAAAATCACACAGAAGACTACATGGGAGGAGACGAAAGAGAGCAGTGATGTGACTAGAACAACAGATGGAACCTTCTGAGTTGGTCTGCTTTTTGACCTTGACCTGGGTATGTCAATACTCCTAACTCACCTCACGCTGGTTTCTAAGTTTTTGGTTTTTGGTTTGTTTGTTTTACCTGGATCCTTAGAGCCAAGTCATGAATTCCTATGGTTCGAGCTCTTTCTACGTAAGCGATTAGTTCCATCATTTCTTCTGTTGTCTCAGGAACTCGTAGAGCATGCTCTTTAATTGCTTCAAATTCACTGCAAATACTGACAGAACATTCAGACTTACTATACTTATGGCAAGTAATCTGTAGCAGATTTAACAAATATGTGCTATTGTTGCTATAAAATAGAAATCTCTATGTTAAAAACAACTGGCTGGTTTATTAAAATATCATATAATATTTAAGCTTAGCTTGTCTGAGGTCACCATAGATCACATCAATAAAAACAAAGCTAATATTTTCAAATGAAAATCTGGCATGATTTTTTTTCTGGTGATCTTAAACTCTCCTCAAGATTGAGATAAGCAACGTAGCAGATCTTAAATGTAACAGTCCTGATATAATCCTGCCTCAGCTGCTACAAGAGTGCTGTTTGGTTTTGTCAGTTTGACGCAAACTGGGGTCTAATGAGAGGAGGAGACCTCAACAAACAAAGGACTTGCTTCCATCAGACTGGCCTGGGGTGTGTTGATTGATGTGGGAGAGCCCAACCCACTGTGGATGGTGCCATCCCTGGGCCGATGGTCCTGAGCAAGGCAAGAGGAACAAGCCAACCACTTAGGCAGCCATTTTGTGTTTCTTTACTTCCTGGCTCAAGGTTCCTGCCTTGAGTTCATGTCCTGACTTCCTTCAATGATGGAATATGATCTGTAAGCCAAATAAACCCTTTTCTCCCCAAAGTTGTTTTGGCCCTGGTATTTATTACAGCAATGGAAGGTTACTAATTTTGTGAATTTAGGCAACCTTCAATATCCAGTTTCTGTATTTATAAAACGAAGCTATTAACGCATCCTGATGGAATATGTGATACAAGAATGAAAATATGTATGAATGAATAAAGGTATGAATGAATGAATGAATGAATGAATGAATGAATGTAGCACAGTTAAATAGAACCTGTGAAATGGAACAGTGTAGCAAATAAGGAGATCAAATCCTTGTTTAAATATTTTAAACTCTATGATACCTTAGAATATCCTATGTAGAGAAGTATGAATCTAGGTATCCTGTGTCATTATTTAACAAAGCTGTATTTTTCAGATTTGCCTTCCTATGCCTTAAAATGTTTGTATTGTTAAGCCACCACTAGAAATATCAAAAAAAATCCAGCTAGGCTGGAAAACATCCATGTATATTTTTAATCTTCTGTTTTTAAACAAGAGTAATTTTGATGAACTGTTTTTTGGCCCTGTTATTCTGAATACAGTAATTAATTTTACTTACGCTTCATTTTCTTTTCTATGTTTTGAAGCTATGTCATTTAATAAAATGTTTGCAAAGGCTCTTGCTTTATTCGTCAAGCCTATCTTCAAGTCTTCACAGTCCAAACGAACCATAGGATAATGAGCCCACTGAGGCAAAAGCATTATTTCTGAAGCAAGATTGAAAAATTTTTCTATAAACTTTAAAGAAGAGTGTTTAAAAAAAAGTTAGAATTTTATAATTAGTGATTTTATAGAACTATATTATAATGAAATTCTTAATTGTGTAATATATTATACTTGCTAAATGACTCTTATTTCTTTTGATATACAAACCTGTTTTCTCTTGGTGTCAAGACTAAACCCAGAGCCTGAAGATTCTGGCCATGTGAGCTTCATAGCCAGTGCCCAAACATTCTCACTCTTTTTATGGTGAAATTCAATCTACTAGTAAATACCAAGTGTGCTATAGCCTAAAATCTGCATATTTTGCAATATTTCCTCAATTAAAAAAATATGCCCAGAGTTACATCATTCCTGTTTAGAAACAAACCTATATTATACAACAATGTTTATAGCTGCATATGTTTGGTTTTGGCATTATTGAATATCTCTCTGAAGGTTCTAATTCAATCTTTAGGAAAAGAAATATAAGAAACCTTTTGTGTATGCTAAAAGCCAGAGGGACAGAAATATTATGTCCTATCACGACCAAAGATTAGAGATTTTGGAATTTATGTTAACTTCTTAATACTTAAACTCTAGGATGATTTTCAAAAATGAAACAAAGTAATATAAAACATTGACAACACATGTTACATTTTGTGCAAGTGGAACAGGCTTGCAAACTCTGAGCAATCTTCGACTTAAAGTCACAGCCCACCTTAATGCTTCCCTCACCTTTCCTGCTCGTTATCCGTACGTACTTCACCCACAGCCAAACAGCTGCTCCTTTTTTCATTTGTGAGAGATTTTTGTTTGTTTTTATCTCAAAGTTATCCTATTATTCTACAGCTTACAGTATTTAATGAATCGAGTTTAACCTTTTCGTTGTGAGATGGTTCAGAGGGCAGTAACTCATTTAATGAACACCTGCTTTGTTCATAGAAAAATAACAGCCAAAAAGTAAATTGTGCTGACGTTAACGGGGAACAGTGAGCACTGACGAATTTAACAATGAAGGGAAAACCACAAGACAAGCCATCACTTTAGTGCATCTCATGTTAACTTGTCATGAGACAAAATTACACAATGCTAGGTTTACAAAATACAAAGATGCTAGGAGGCGGGGATGAAAAGCCCTATATGACACAATCTCCCTATACTCTACTATACTCATAAACATATTCAAGAAAATAGAGGAAATAGAAGGAAAAATGAAACTCATCAAAAAAGCCTGGAACACAGAATCTGAAATGAGAATGACACTTTACTGTCAGAGAGGAGCACAAAGAGCAAAACAAAACCAGAAAACCAGCTATCATACAGCTATCATAAGACCGCACCTATCAGTAATTAATCAATGTGTTAGGTTCTACAACCTAAAGACAAAGTGACTGATAGGCTGAAGAGACGACTCAATGGTTAAACTGCTTGTTGTGCAGCATGAGGACCTAAGCTTGATCCTTAGCACTCAGGTGAGGCTGGGTATAATAGCGTGCTCATAGTCCCCCTTTCTTCTCATAGCAATAGCATAAGTCATATGAACAGACCACACAGCAAAGCCCAACTAACTTTGAAAACTTGGAATCCTATAGAATATGAAATGAGACTAGAAATCCATAAAGAATTCTATGGAAACTATACAAATACATGGAAATTAAACAACTTATTTTTAAATAACAAGTGGATCAATCAATCAATCAATAAGGAAACTTAAACTTTCTTTTTCTTCTACGTCAGTGAGATTGCTCAGTGGGTAAAGGCACTTGCCACCAAACCTGATGGCCTGAGTTTGGTCCCCACATGGTAGAGATAGAACTGACTCCTATGGGTTTTCTCACTCCACAGAAATGCTACAGTAATGTACACACACACACACATACACACACACACACATGTAAAAAGAATATTCCTTCTTTCTTCCTTCCCTCTTTCTTTTTTTGTTTGGTTGTTGTTGTTGTTGTTGTTGCAGTTGTTTAATACTGGGCTTGTTGCATGGCAGTCTACCATCAAGCGACATTTATGCTTTCTATTTTGAGGTCTCACATGAGTAAGCATGACACGGAACGTTAGAATGAAGAGCAAGATCCTGTGGTCATCTCAGTGTCTGCATGAGCAGACTTGACAAGGCTGGGCAAAGTGTGGCATGCCTGTCCTCTGTTGCCAACAAGAAAGAAATACTAGGTGGGCTTTTAAAACGTGTTTTCTTTTGTATTTGCATCATTGTGCTTCCCTACATGACTTTCTCATACCTTACCCCATGTTACTTCCCTGTCCTTTTTTCCATTTATTACTTTTGTTTGGGATGGGAAGGGGAAAAAAATACAGGCAAGAGAAAGACCTAAGAACAGGTAACTTTTTAAAAAAAAAATTCCTAAATAAAAAGTATTGTCAAATAATGAATGACTAAAGAACTCAATTCAAATGATGAAAAATTCGTCAGTGTGGATTAGAAATTCAGGTAAGAGAAAAATATTCCAAAAAATTAGAAACCATGGAAATTAAGAACTCACTAAAATAATTTAAGAAATTTGGTGGAAAGAATGATCCCATGCTGTGGACTATATCAAATAGACATATGGTTTCTGTAGTTTGTCTTGTTTTTATTCCTAATTGTATTACATTTTGATTTGTTAACATATAAGAAACTATTTCAGTCTTTTTAAAACTTCCTTTAGCTTTTGAGATTATAATTACATCATTTCCCCACAAACCCTTATTTGTTCTGTTTCAAATTGATGGCCTCTTTTTTAAAAATTAATTATTGTATGTTTCTTCTCTATTCTCTTCTATATCCATACAAACATCTACTTCAGATCTGAGCTCAGCTGGGGATGGTACTGTGTTCCTGTATTTCTTGCATTTGAGAGGTAGGGACAAGAGAATCAGGCATATAACACAGGCCAGCCTGGGCTACATACTAAGTTTCAGATCAGCTTGAAGTTTAATTTTACTGACTCCTCTAACCTCCATATGTCACAGTACATGCACACATACTCAAATAAATAAATAAATAAATAAATAAATAAATAAATTCTATCTTAAAATGTTTAAATAAAATTTTATTAACTCAGTACATGACTGAATTAATAATTAAAATAGTTATAAGGTAAATCAACTAACATGATGTTTTGGATAAGAAATTCTATTTACATTATTTGAAGCATTTATTCTTAGAGCAGAAATATCCTAATTAAATAAAATTCATTATACATAAACAGAATTATCCTTCAGAGAACTATCCTATCCAAGTTAGCATGTCTATTCACATTGTGATTGCCCAAGTCTTGTTTCTGTAGCTATTTCTAGGAGAGACAGTCTCACAGCATGGTGTATGGCATTGTGGCTCCTACATACTAATGGCTGAAAGAGGGAGAACTAGAACTGTGACCCCCCCCAATTGACTATCCAAGATAAAGTGCTCAATCCTGGAACCACATACATACAAACAACAAAAAGAAGACAGTGGAGTGGGGGTGGGGCTTGGGGGACAGTGGAGGGGGCTGGAAAGAGGAAAAGAAAGGGGAGAGTGATGTAATTATATTTTAATTAAAATGCATTAAAAAACAGTTGTCTATAATGGTTTCAGTTGGTCCAAGTGCAGAGAAAAATTGTGAGATGCCCAGCCTCAGTGGATACATTTATAACAATCCCTGCATCTGAGGCTCAGGGAATATTGTGAGAGAGAGGCGGGAAGACTGCAGAGCCAGAGGATCAGGAAATGTGCTGTGAGGTTGTGTCTCCTAGAAGTGACAGGGAAGGTACACCCAGGATGTGTCAACAACAAGGCCTACAAAAGAACAAGACCAATAGACATGCTTATGTGGAAAGGGAAAATCTCAAGGAATGGTGGAGGCACCACAGACAAAACTGTACAGGTAACTGAGGACTGCTGAGAGAGGGGGATTAACTTTCCCAGAGGACAAATCCCCTAATTGGTTATCCAATACCAAATGGTCAGCCCTAAAATTATGTACAAGCAAACAACATTAATGGACTCAGCATATTTTATTTATTTATATTTAGGAATATATATTACACATATAATATATATTATATACACATATATGCTTATATATATGTGTGTGTGTGTGTGTGTGTGTGTGTGTGTGTGTGTGTATGTATAACAAAGAAAAAGCAGCCATGAATTTGAGAAGGAATGAGGAGTATATGCTGGGGACTGGAGAAAGGAAAGGGAAGGAGGCAAATAGTGTAATTATAATTAAAATATGTGCAAATATGAAAAAACAGAATTACCACTTACCTCTGTGTACTCGTCAAAAGTATGGTTTCCTGCCTGGAAATTCTGTACCATCTTTGTTGCAGTCCCGTCAAGGAGCCAGTTGTAGTTTTTAACTGAAAATTAATATTCCAATTAAAATCTGAATAACATTTGAATATAGTAAAAGTATTTTGTATTGTCATAGAGTAGCCTACTCAGGTATGAACATATGTAGATTGCTACATTTGAAGAAATAAGAGGAAAAAGATTTAATAGCCATTGCTTTGTACACTAACCTAAAAAAGTTAATAAAAAATTTCAAAGTAAAGATTGAAGAGGCAAACCAAGTTAAACACATTTTGAAGCTAAGAAGACAAGTTTATTCAGTACATTACTAAGAGAGAATAGAGCTGTCTGCCTAGACTCATATTAAGTGTTAAATGTAGTACGATACTTGAAGCTCTGAAAGTAACTTAGAGGACTAGATTATGTCAGATAGCAGACAACTTTAGCCAAGAGCTTGTCAAAGGGCAACTATCCATTCCGATATCAGATATACTTGAGCAGTAAAATCAAACTTTTCTAAACTGTTTTCAGAAACTAACTTGAGTCCCCTTGCTTTAGCTAACTTGTCACTCCAACGCTATTCTTTCCCAGCTGTTGACTTTATCACCCTACTCCCGTTAATACTCACCCGGCAACCCAGACAACAAAACCCAAGTTTCTCAGGTCTGATCCATGACTCGGGAATCCATGCTAGTGCTAATCTCTGGCTCTTTCAAAACAGCAGAAAAAAAAAAAAACAACCCAGATATCTGATCAAATTCTAGCTAAAATGTAGAATGATAAAAATATAGTTTGTATATACCGTATGTTTTGTAATGTGCTTTTGCACCTTCTAGGTTCTGCTGTACTGCTATCCTCAGCGTACTGAGGGCCCAGTACAGCACATGTTCTGGAAGTTCTGTATCAAGATTGACAGGCGATGAAGTTCCTGACAGCCAAGAAGGTACTGTTTGGACAGTCTAACAGAAATAAAACCAAATATGTATGTAATAAATATATAACTAAACTGATCAATAACATTTTCTTTAAATTTCTGTGGTCCAAGAAAAGGCCACTAAGTGAAAAGTAATAATTTAATAGTAAGCAACCTGTAATACAACATAAAAACTTAAATTGGAGCTGACCTTGATATATGTCTGAATCCCAGCAGACTGTCTATAGAGGCTAAAATAGGAGCATGCGGAGCTCCAGGCCAGTCTAGGCTACAAAGTGACACAATGTTTCAAAATGTAAAAACTCACAAACAAAACAACCACCACAAAAAAACAAAGCACCTTAAGATTAGTTAGTTTTCTATCATTTTACTATTTATTAACTATATCAGTATTTATTAACTACATCAAGGTGTGGTAATACTAAAAAGCGTTAGAAAGAAGAAATATGACTCAGATATTGCTTTGTTTTTGAGACAGAGTTTTTCTATGTATCCCTGGTTGTCCTAGAACTCTCTTTGAAGACCAAGCTGGCCTCAAACTCATAGATCTGCTTGCCTCTGCATCCCAAGTGCTGAGATTAAAAGTGTATGCCATCATGCCTTAGATTTTTTTTTTAAAACATTACAACTTAGTACCAAGAAGACACACACAAAAGCATTAGTTCAGAACAATAGGAAAAAGATCAAAAGAAGAAAAACATCTCCAATTAACATGTTTTCAAAGAAAAAATGCATTTTATAACTTAAAATAATTTTGAGGGAAATAAAAAGCCACAATATTTTATGTTTATATAGAGTACAGTGAAATTCAATTCAAATACTAAAATACAGCAGTATAGGGACACAGAGGTTAAGAAAGAAGTAATACCTGCAGAGTTTCAGATATCCGTTCTATCAATCCCAAGACAACATCTTCTAAATCTTGAAAAGTGGGATAAAATTCCATTTTATCATCATCAAATGTCAATTCCATCTTAAATATTGGAAGCCTGTTTAGATATCTTGAATCAAAGAGTGTTACGAATTCTTCTACAGTTCTCCATAAGAGATCCTTTAGCTACGTGATATCAAAAGTAGCATTATTTCAGAAAGTATAAATTCAATCTTTACCTAAAATGAATTACTGTGTATAATTACATGAACTCTATAAACTTGGTTACTCCTGGAGTCATAACCATTCCTAATAAATGTCTTAACAATAAATAGAAAGCCAGGCAACGGTGACATATGCCTTTAATCCAGCACTCTGGAAGCTGAAGCAGATGGATCTTTGTGTATAAGCCTTCCTGGTCTATAGACTGAGTTTTAAGACAGCCAGAACTATGTAGAGAAACCCTGTCTTGAAAAAAATCAAATCAAATCAAACATAAAAATAAACAATAAATAGCATAATATTTGCAAACCAAATTTTTGTAGTAGAATATCAGCACTCTAAAAATAGCTGTGCAGAATTTCCACATTTATTAGTAAGTTTGTCCCTGGCACATAAAACATTTCAAAAGAACAAACAATATGGAGAAGTCTAGGGATTAGAAAGGCTTACATACAGAGGCAAGAGTGGACAATGGCCTGCTACTAAAGACAGCTCCTACAGTGAGAAGGGCCAACTGTCAAATAATTACAACTTTGAGGAGTTGCTAAACTTTGAGAAACATGAACTCTACATGATGAAAATGTTTATACTGCAGAAATCAATAATCAGAAGAACTCAGGATACTTTTCCCTTTTCCTTCTGGAGAGCCAGATTTCCATCACACTACCCTTCCACATGCAAGGGCAGAACCATGGTAACTTAGAAATATACACAATGTTTCTAAGTATGAAAAGTGCATTCTTACTTAGAATCAACTGTTGTATAGTTAGCCTGGAAGACATGCATGAATCTGAACAATCTTCCAAATGGGCTTCATGTTTTCTTATCAAATAACCATAGTCCTCAGGAGAGTAAAGCAGGAGGAAAGGAAACTGAATACTCATTACTGTGTTGGATATAGCTACCAATTATGTACTGTGCCCTCCTAAGGAAGCAAGGTAGAACACGTGAACTAGAGCTCTTAACTGAAAAGGAATGTTTTCATTCAAAACTAGTATTTTAGAGTTGTGTGTCTAAAGTAGTAGATATTTAAGGGGTCCATAAAGCAATTGTACAAGATTAATATTCTCTTTATGTTTATCCACTAAAGATGATAAAAAACATTTTGAAATAAGCCTTTCATGAGAATGAAGCATAACGATCTTAGAATTTAATCAAAAATATATTTACTAGGCTAGTCTTTTTGCTAACATACTGATGTTAAACTAGAGTCTGGCTGCTCTTCCAGAGGACACCAGGTCCAATTCTCAGCACGCACATGGCGGCTCACAGCTGCCTGTAACTCCAGAATCCAACACCTACACACATGCAGGCAAAACACCAATACACATTAAACAAACAAACAACAAATAATGTGTGTGTGTGTGTGTGTGTGTGTGTGTGATATGTACTTGAAGATAGGCATGTTCTTGACATGGTATATGTATGTGCCAAGGTATTGATGTGAAGGTCAGAGGTCAACTTTTGGGGAGTCAGTTCATGTCCTTCACTTTGCTGAGGCAGGGCCTCTCTTGTTTCCGTTGTGGCACTGACTAAGTAAGCTTCTGAGCAGTTCTAATAATCTTGCTGCAGGATTGCAGATGCATGTTGCTGCATACATTCAGCTCTTACACAGATTCTAGGATAGACCCTGGGTAGTTTGTGCCAGCTGTGTGGCCTACTGAGCCATTTCTCTGGCCTTCCTTAACTTACTTTTTAAAAATTACTTAGCACTGTGCTTAAATGGATTTTATTTAAAGTATTGGCTTCTAAGTATTCAAGATACATATATAGCACATATATACCTGATTTGACATAAGTATGGAAACACAGTTATAAAAGGAATCCAATTTTTCAGGCTTGATGCCTTCTAGTGCCTCCTTCTTAGTAAAGAGATTTATAACCTTTGGATACCATGTGTTCATTATCTTCTCTTCTGATTTTTTAGCTTGAATTGATAGATCATTTCTCAGTGCTTCACAATCAATTGGACCTCTAGCTCTATTGATGAACAAAAGAAAATAATTCAGGCAAATGACAAATCGGTCTTGATATACAGTTGTTGGATCAGATGAGATCTAATTTTAAAGTTCTAAAATATAAAGAAAGGCTTAGAGATGTATAAATCAGTTTTAAAACAAATATAATAAAATATGCCAAAGAGTCATTCAACTTTTAAGTTTTAACTAATATATATAAAATTTTACCTAATTCCTGTTAAGTCCAGCAGAATTGTTTTAGCAAATGTTGTATAACCAAGCTCCAGTAAAGTTTTCATAGTTGGATGAACAATGTGCAAATTAGCTAATATTTGACTTCTTGCCTGCACAAAGTTAGAATGCCAAGGATTGGAATAATCTAGTCCTCTGGAAAAGCAAAGCATCACATTAAACATGATTGAAATAACATATCACACGCTTTGAGAAATTAACGTTACAGTAGAAACTGAGGGTTTGGAATAAGGAATTATGGTCAGTAATGGAAGTCTTTTGAGTCTGAGCACTCAGTTTTGAAATTGCACTTTATCTTCAGAGGAAGGAGAGAATTTGTGGCTGAAACAGACTCGTGGCTCACATGTCCTGTTAACTTTTACTTTACTCAGGGGTTTGTGGCCCCACGAGGAGAGCAACAATAACAACCAATCAGAGCTCCCCAGAGCCTAAACCACCAGCCTGGGAGCACATAGGGAGGGACCCATGGCTCCAGCTGAATATGTAAGGGAGGATGGCATTGTCAGGCATAGGTGGGAAAGGAGATCCTTGGTCCCATGAAGGCTGGACACCAAGTGTGGGGGAATTCGAGGGTGGGGAGGTGGGAGGTGGGGGGTGGGTGGGGACACATCCTCATGGAAGCAGGAGGAGGGGGAATGGGGTAGGGGGATAGCATCTGAAATGTAAATATAATATCCAATTTAAAAAAAAAAAACTTTTACTTTGCTTTAGATCAGCTACCCAAAATACAAAAGTAAGAACAGTTTTAGGTTTATGGAAAGAAATCTTTCCAGCATATATCAAAGATTGGTTTATTATTGCTATTATTAGATCAAGTTTCATGTAAGTCACTGCATAGCTGAGGTTAGCTTTGAACTTCTGATTCTCCTGCCTCCATATTATGAGCCCTAGGGTCATGGGTGTAAGATACCTTACAACATACATTAGATTACATTTAAGTATTTTTCATACAGGTGAATGTAAGTAGAACTAGGTGATTAATGTGGAGAATGTCTTTGGAGACTTTTAAAGAAAATATCTTTGAGCTTCATGATTGTAGACTTGAATGTAAGATCAGTTCATTTTTAAATTGCATCCAAAGCTAGATGTTATACCATTTTTAAAAATAATTTACTTACTCAGGAGATTCAGGCAAAGGGCCCCCTTCATCTTCAAGCCATTTAACTGGAGGCTTCACAAGAACACTCTGAACTAAAATACACATACATTAATATTTCCTGAAAATCCTTGTAAGATCTATACTCTAAGTCAGTTTTTTAAAATCTAAGTCTCTAACTTGATATTGTAAGGTAGAATTTACTGTACATTAAAATAAGTATAAGGAAAAACTCCCTTTCTTGCACAAAATCAAGCTCCTAGCATTATTTTGGCCTTCTTTGGAAGGTGAGTTCCAATACAGGAACACTCCTTAAATCTCAGTCCTTTGCGCTGGGCGGTGGTGGCGCACACCTTTAATCCCAGCACTCGGGAAGCAGAGGCAGGTGGATTTCTGAGTTTGCGGCCAGCCTGGTCTACAGAGTGAGTTCCAGGACAGCCAGGGCTACACAGAGAAACCCTGTCTAGAAAAACCAAATAAATAAATATCTCAGTCCTTTGCATTCTGTATGTTCAAAGATCATTGGTATGACCGTTTAAGAAATTCATTTTAAGATAGCTACCAGGGATTGGGGGAAATGGGAGTTGGGGAAATGTTGGTAAAAGGTTAGAGAATTTCAGCTAGCTAGGAGGAACATGTTGAAGAGGACTGTTTTAAAATATTGTGAAGATAGTAAAAAATAACACATTGTTTACAAATACTTAACAGTACTTTTAAGCATTTTCAGCACATGCATGAAATACATGTTAACTGGTTCACCTTAAAATGTTTAATTTAGTTTAATTAATTTAATGCATACATTATTTGGAACCATATCATATGGCTGCGAAGTGATACTCTGTCTCACAAGCAACAACAACAATACTCCAATAAAGACTGCAAGGACTAAAACACATTAATGTTTCTGAAAATTATAAAATTAGGATAGCTAAAACCATAGAGACAAAATGAGTAATAAAATAGCAATAATATTAGCTGATAAATATAAAAGGTACCCTTAAATTACAAAGTCTTTAGACTGCAGTGTCAAAAATAAAACTGTAGGTAGAAATTATATTGAAAAAACACATGCATTTAAAATATATAATGTTCAATATTCAACTTACTTCTACTATTTTGTCTTATTTTGGTTTCTGTTTGTTTATTTGTTTGTTTTGCTTTGTGTATTTTCTTAAACAGGGTTTCTCTGTGTAGCTTTGGCTGTTCTGGAACTCACTGTGTAGACCAGGCTGGCCTTAAACTCAGATATCTGTCCAATTCTGCTTTTCAAATTCTGGGATTAAAGGTGTGCGCCTCCACTGCCAAGGTTGTTTTGCTTTTTTGAGATAAGATCTCATGTAGCCCAGGCTGGCCTCAAACTCACTGTGCAGCTGAGGGTGACCTTGAGCTCTTTCTCCTCACCACCTCAGCTCTCAAGAGCTGGTATTACAGATGTGCGCGCATGGGGCAGCGGTAGAAGCTTGGTGTATGCCAAACGTTACTTACCCAAATATCTCTTCATGCTCTTTTCAAAGTCCACTGAGACCTCATTTATGAGACTTCCAAGCAGTTCTTCTCTTTGTTTCCCTTCCTTTAGGTGCTCAGGTATCAGCATCAACATGTGGTCCAGCCATTGTGGCTGGATAGGTACTATAGGGCTACTCTCCACACACTGCTTCATGAAAATGTAGTTTAACTTTGAAACATTAAAAGAGCAAGAAAAATGGCCAGCATGATTTAGCATTTCAGTCTGCTGCCTAAGTTCTGTTTTCTAAAACATCTTTCAGAATAAAAAAAAATTCTAAAAGTCTCTCACACACATACACATAGGAAATAATAAATGTAATGTGTTTTTAATTAGATAAAACAAACCAAAACTCTTGACTACTAAAAAGAGGTTCTTCCATAATATTCTCAAGTCATAAGGACGTTATATTTACAGGCCTGGATCCCCGTAAAATCCTAATGGACTTAGAAAATGTATAGCCTATCTGCAAACATGCTCCACAATTCCCTCTTAGATATAAGCAGCGCCAAAAGTTTCTGTATCCTTTACTATTAAATAACTCTTACACGTTGTCCCGTGTCCACCAGTCATTTCACAGCCCACACTGTTACTCATGCAGTGTCTCTAAGACAAAGTTCTAGCACTACCTGGTACGTATCTAGTATCTAGTACCCCTCATTAAGTACTTGTTAAGTGAAAATAAACATTATATCAATATTAGGATAATTATTACACTAATTCTATGAGAGAGATGCATTTCTTTTATAGCTGCTATTTTAAATATTTTTTAATAGTTTAGAATAAGAACTAAAGTATTTATACATATATATAATCCTCAAATAAGGGATGGAAACATAAATACAACTCTTGAAAACCTCATTTGTAGTCCACCATATGCTTACACCTTTGGATAGAGAAATATAAATCTGTTTAGACTTCTTCCCTAGGAGGAGACTTGGTAGATGGTCTTAGAAGAACACTTTGTAGTAATTATTTTGAACATTTTCAAGACAAAAAAAAATCCAACTCACTCCTTTTTTCTTAATTGCACTGGTCATCTGTCAAAAAATAAAACCACAAACAAGAAAAAAGGATGAATTTTAAAACATTTTAATCAAATAAAATCTTAAATATACCTGTTCTTTTAAAAAAATGAGTTCTAAAGCCATGCTGTGGTGGCATGTGCCTTTAATCCCAGCATTTGGGAGGCAGAGGCAGGAGGATCTCTGAGTTTAAGCCTAGCCTGATCTACACAGAGAAACCCTGTCTCTAAAAGCAAACAAACAAAACAAACAAACAAAGACTGCTATTGAGATGCTTATAAGAAATAAAATTGTACAGGGTTGTTAAGGAGAGAACTCACAGTTGGAGGGTAGTCTGGCTCTGGTAATGGAGGTATTCTTTTATCCAGGGTTTTGTCTAGACTTTTTTTAGCTCCAGAAATTCTGAAATTTACAATTAGAAAATTTTATAATAAAAATGGGCATTAATTCCTAAAATACTTTAAGTTGAACATTTTAGACATCTATATTAATACTAAACAGAGAAATCTTCACGAAACCTTTATCTGACTACATTTTTATTTATTTACTAATTAATTAATTTATTTATTTTCAAACTTGAACTTACTATGTATTGAAGCTGGTCTGCAATTCATGGCACTCTACTGTCTTAGCTTCCCAGGGTGTTGAGATTACAGGTATGAGTCATTATGGCTGCCTCTGACTGAACTTTTTATGAGAAACAAATCCTAGTGGCTACTACCAATGATATCTTAAATTTTAAATTATTCAAGAATACCATAAAGAAGCAATACTAAAAATGAAATCATTTTCAGTTATAACTTACTGATAGCTTATAAATGAACCCTGATATAGACTATGCCATCCTCTGTTTAAATGCCAACAAATCAGAGAAAGCTTTCCTTACACCCTGTATTAATATCTCTTGAAGACTTCATAAAGCTCTCTCTCAGCTTACATGCCATAGAGGCTGAGAAGACAAAGAAAACAAACTGGGGACATGGGAGTCATGGTCACATGGCACGAACACTGCAAAGTCTTAAGAGACCATCACAACGCTGGTGGCATGACAGAAGCTGAGGAAAAGAAATATATCACATTTAACTTCAGTCTCTTTTTTTACATAAAGAAATACATGGAAGGTCTACTTTCATTATTAATATAGTCCTGTGGTTGGGAACTTGAGGCAGTATATTTTATCAAGCAGCAAATGAAAGTGATACAGATCTGAAAGACCCTGTCTTGAAAACAAAACAAAAACTGTCTGGTCATCCATGCATTTCTGCAAGTAGTACCACTTTCTACTTTCATTTACTGCTTATTAAAATATCGCTAATAATTTCCTGTCAAGTTCCTGTTTACAACGTTTGGCCGCCCTTCCTCAGTCACTCGCTCGATCACTTCCTCCCCCTCTCCTTTCCTTATATCCCTGGCTGATCAGGAACTTGGTCTGTAGACCCACTGGTTACAAAGATCCACCTGCCTCTGCCCCTCAAGTGCTAGGATTAAAGGTATGCACCACCATACTTGGCTTATTTGGAATAATTTAAAGGCATCTACTGCTCTAAAATAGACCTTGAATTCCTTATCATGGCCTATAAAATCTTGAACAATCTGCTCCAGTCTCCTCTTCACCTTTTTTTAAATTAATTTTTTATTGGATATTTTACTTACATTTCAGATGTTATCCTCTTTCCCCATTTCCCCCATCTAGCCACCCAGAAACCTCCTATCTCATCCCCACTCCTCTTGCTTCTACCCACCCACCCAGTCCCACCTCCCTGCCCTCAAATTCCCCCACACTGGGGCATCCAGCCTTCATGGAACCAAGGACCTCTTCTCCCATCTATGTCCAACAAGGCCATCCTCCTTTACACATATAGCTGGAGCCATGGGTCCCTCCCTGTGTGCTCCCAGGCTGGTGGTTTAGACTCTGGGAGCTCTGGTTGGTTGGTGTTGTTGCTCTTCTCATGGGGCCACAAAACCTTTCAGCTCCTTCAGTCTTCTCTCTCACTCCTCCATTGGGGACCCCATGATCAGCTCAATGGTTAGTTGTGAGCATCCGCCTCTGTATATGTCAGGCTCTGGCAGACCTCTAAAGAGACAGCTATATCAGGCTCCTGTCAACATGCACTTCCTGACATCCACATCAGCATCTGTCTTTGGTGACTGCACAAGGGATGAATACCCAGGTGCAGCAGACAGCCCCTCCTTTAGTTTCTGTCCCACACTTTGTCTCCATATTTGCTCCCATGAGTATTTTGTTACTCCTTCTACGAAGGGCCAAAGCACCCACACTTTGGTCTTTCTTCTCCACGAGCTTCATGTGGTCTGTGAGTTGTATCTTGGGTATTTTGAGCTTTTGGGCTAATATCCACTTATCAGTGAGTGCATACCATGTGTGTTCTTTTGTGATTGGGTTACCTCACTCAGGATATTTTCTAGTTCTATCCATTTACCTAAGAATTTCATGAATTCATTGTTTTTAATAGCTGAGCCCCATTGTGTAAATGTACCACATTTTCTATATCCATTCCTCTGTTGAAGGACATCTGGGTTCTTTCCAGCTTCTGGCTATTATAAATAAGGCTGCTATGAACATAGTGGAGCATATGTCCTTGTTATATGTTGGAGCATCTTCTGGGTATATGCCCCGGAGTGGTATAGCTGGGTCCTCAAGTAATGCTATGTCCAATTTTCTGAGGAACTGCCAGACTGATTTCCAGAGTGGTTGTATCAGCTTGCAATCCCACCAACAATGGAGGAGTGTTCCTCTTTCTCCACACCCTTGCCAGCATCTACTATCACCTGAGTTTTTGATCTTGGCCATTCTGACTGGTGTGAGGTGGAATCTCAGGGTTGTTTTGATTTGCATTTCCCTGATGATTAAGAATGTTGAACATTTCTTTAGGTGCTTCTCGGCCATTCAAGTTTCCTCAGTTGAGAATTCTTTGTTTAGCTCTTTACCCCATTTTTAGTAGGGTTATTTGGTTGTCTGCAGTCTAATTTCTTGAGTTCTTTGTATATATTGGATATTAGCCCTCTAACGGATGTAGGATTGGTAAAGATCTTTTCGCAATCTGTTTTTGCTGTTTTGTCCTATTGACAGTGTCCTTTGCCTTACAGAAGCTTTGCAATTTTATGAGGTCCCATTTGTCAATTCTTGCTCTTTGAGAATAAGCCATTGGTGTTCTGTTCAGGAACTTTCTCCCTGTGCCTAGGTATTCGAGGGTCTTCCTCACCTTCTCTTCTATTAGTTTCAGTGTATCTGGTTTTATGTGAAGGTCCTTTATCCACTTGGACTTGAGCTTTGTACAAGGAGATAAGAATGGATCGATTTGAATTCTTCTACATGCTGACCTCCAGTTGAACCAACACCATTTGTTGAAAATGCTGTTCTTTTTCCACTGGATGGTTTTAGCTCCTTTGTCAAAGATCAAGCGACCATGTGTGAGTTCATTTCTGGGTCTTCAATTATAGTCCATTGATCTTCCTGCCTGTCTCTGTGACAATAACATGCAGTTTTTATCACTAAAACTCAGAGCTGAAATCAACCAAGTAGAAACAAAAAGAACTATACAAAGTATGAACAAAACCAGGAGCTGGTTCTTTGAGAAAATCAACAAGATAGACAAACCCTTAGCCAGACTAACCAGAGGGCACAGAGACAGTATCCAAATTAATAAAATCAGAACTGAAAAGGGAGACATAACAACAGAAACTGAGGAAATTTTAAAAATTATCAGATCCTACTACAAAAGCCTATACTCAACAAAACTGGAAAATCTGGACGAAATGGACAGGCTACAATACCAGGTTACGAAGTTAAATCAGGAGCAGATAAACCATCTAAACAGTCCCATAATCCCTAAAGAAATAGCAGCAGTCATTAAAAGTCTCCCCACAAGAAAAAAAAAAAGCCCAGGACCAGATGATTTTAGTGCAGAATTCTATCAGACCTTCAAGGAAGACCTAATACCAATTCACTTCAAACTATTCCACAAAATAGAAACAGAAGGAACACTACCCAATACGTTCTATGAAGCTGCAATTATGCTCATACCTAAACCACACAAAGACTCATCACAGAATGAGAACTTCAGAGCAATCTCCCTTATGAATATCGATGCAAAAATACTCAACAAAATTCTCGCAAACCGAATCCTCTTCACCTTCTACAGTCTCCCCCAGGTTACAGTACCTTCATGATCCTGGCAGATGTCAGTTCCTGTTTCCTGACTTTGGTGGTTGCTATCTGTGTCCCTAAATTGACTTTCTCCTGTTTGACTGGAAGATTTCTTCCCATTTTTTTTTTTGTTATCCATTTAAATATTGTCTCCACAAGCTGTTCCTGTCATGCTCCTGGGATAATGTTCTATTATATTATCTTATTATTTATTTATTGTTCATACAGGATCCCACTATGTCAACCCAGGCTAGCCTTGACCTCACAATCCTCCTGCCCTAGCTTTCTCAGTACTGAGATTATAGGCATGTACCCTACACCATGCTTTCTCTATCTTGTTTCTTCAAAATACCCATCACCAGCACTAGGGAGACAGAGGCAGACAAATCTCTGATTTCAAGGCCAGCCTGGTCTACACAATGAGTTCCAGAACATGTAGGGCTACACACAAAAAAACCTTGCTTCAAAAACATAAAAAAATAAAAAGGCACTCTTCATCTAAAGCTTTCCTCAGCCTTTCTAATGCTGCAACCATTCAACACAGCTTTTCATGTAGTGGTGACCCCTAACCACAAAATTATTGCTACAAATAATGATGGGTACTTTGAAGAAACAAGATAGAGGAATCCTATAGTGGGATCCTATATGTAACCACAAAAATTTTGTTGCTACTTCATAACTGGTGTTGTTATGAATTGTAATGTAAATATCTGTGTTTTCTCCCCTGAGAAAGGGTCTGTCAATCCTCAAAGGGATCATGGCCCACAGGTTAACAACCACTGATTGAAAGAATTCCTATAACTTCGTGTTGTTGTTGTTTTTATATGATTACTGTCTTATCCTGCTGGCAAGCAAACTTGTTAAAGTCACAGTCTTTTACTATTGTTTTCTATGATCTTCCTAGTAACAGGCACAATGTATATCAGGGAATTAATATTTCCACATAAAATGATATAAATTTGTAGAAAGGATTAAAGCAATGTGGAAGGGATTCAAACACTTTCTAGACATGGTAATCCATAAATTAAATCTTAATTGCAAAGCATACCTGATAAACAGAGTGTATTAGTGGAGCCACGAGTAGCTCCTGACAGGGAAAATGGTAAACTGGTGAATAACATCCTGAGAACTCTTGTCTAAATCTTCTAAAAGAACAAGCAGTCTTCAGAATAAAACAGGAAGAGGCTAGAAGAGATGGCTCAGAAGTTCAGAGCTCTTGCTGCTGGGTTTGGTTCCCAGCACCCATGTTGGGCAGCTTACAACTGCTAGGGTAGATATGATGTTCTCTTATGGCCTCTGTACATGTACATTTGTATGGCATTTACATGTACGTTTGCATACACACACATTCACAAATTAAAAAGTTTTTAAGAGAATGAAGAGGTCAAAAGACCTCTAAATATATATATATGTATATGTATATGTATATAATTAAAACATATATAAGTTAAAATTCCTCATAAATTTAGCTTTAAATATGAGTAAGTGAATGATGAGATAAGTTATATAATTCCAAACCTGTTAACTATAAAGTATAACTTTCAAAACTTAATTATTTTTGACAATATGATCATTGACAATGTGGCAATAAAACTTAAGTCAGTTGTAAAACCTCTTATAAAAGAGTTTGAACAAAAAGGGAAATTCCTGATTCATTTTCAAAAATTAGTACAGTTAATAGCATAATAGCAGACACAATAACAAGATACTTGAATTGCAGAAACAGACCACTTGGGCCCAAACTTCAGGTATATGAGCAAATTACTTCTCTGCCCCTTAATTCACTCATTAAAAAAAATATAGCTTGAGGCTGGATAAATGGCTCAGGACCCAAGTTTGACTTCCAACACCCACATGGCAGCTCACAAACTCTAGTTCTTTTTTCTGACTTCTCTGGACTCTTGCATATACATGCTATACACACATAAACTTAGACACATACATACACACAAACACATATATAATATTTTTAAAATAAAAATTTATTTCATCAAGGTGCTGTGAGAAGTATTGGTAAAGTAATAGGGACATTATCTGAAAAAGCAGGTACTCTACAAAATTGGCTATCATTATGATTAATTCTCAATTGCTTTTCTAATTAATTTAAATTTTAATCCTTATTTTACCCATGGACCACCTTTATAGTTTTCTAAATTTTTTGAGAAATTTAGAACACTGATCATGAAGTCCAAGCAATAATTATTTACTAATATGCTACTTACACTAACTGATTGATCTTCTTCTGCTGCTCCTTAGACCTTCTGTAATTTAGCAGCTCACTTTGTTTTGGCGTGTCGACACCTATGTTTTTTGGAGGATGAACAATGGGGGGCAACTTCAAGTTCAAAGCTTCCTTTTCTGCTGTAATGGCAGTTTTGTTAGGATCTGACATCTTGGCCTCCTAAGGATTGAAATACCTTATACCCTGAAAAAGAAAAGTTCATACAGTCATTATTGTATGAAATCAAGTCTGAATATATCCAGTGTATCTTACACAGCAGTACTGCCAACAAAATCCATAGCTGTTCAGATTCACTTACCGAGTATGTAGTGGTTAAAGAATGGCAGTTGAGATGAGTGGGCAGGAGTTCTAAACACAGCTCTGCCAGTCACTTGCTATGAAGAAATGAAGCCAGATATTTCCCCGTTACAATCCGAAATTAAGGAACTGAATTAGACAGGCTCGAAACAGGCTTCCAACTCTAAAATCCTAGGTTTGTTGTTTTCCCCTAGATGCAAACCACAACAAAAGACAACAAAATTGCCCCTCCCACAAACTGGTATTTAATATCATTAATATTTTTTTCAAAACATTATTGAATCAGTCTGTCTAACATCTTAGAAAGTGATGACTGGCAAAAAAAATAGCCATAGTTAATGCAAAGCAAATGTAAGGCATAAACACTCAACAATGTAACTATGGTATCAACTACACTTGTCCCAAATGCCCCAGGGTTTGGAGATTTTCTGCAGGCACCCAAATCATAGACCTTAGAGGGAAAGGAAGAGAAATGCAGAGAACTGGTACCTATCTTATTCTTCTCTTTTGCCACTCAGAGACAGACAAGTTTCTCCTCTGAAGCACTAAGGCAATCTGGTAGGAACAACATAGTAACCATGGAAACAGCCTTGCCTACCAGAAGGGTTGGACATAGGTTGCTAGAAGAGGCAGTTGCTGAATGAAGACTTAAACAGTTACAGTGTTTTTCACTCAAGCTAATCAAAGGCAAGTTGGTTTTAATGCAGTTGTTGCTGTTTAACTAACAGTCTTACATTGGAAAGAGTCCAGTAAATCAAGATTTTCAAATTGCAGGAAAAGGCATGAATAGAAAATTGGATCCATTGGAGAGTGTATAGATTTATATAAATATTCATTGTCTATGAACAATGGCATATTCAAGTGTCCCCATAGTGACTTTCTGTAACTATTGTAACCAAGCCTCAATACAACTTATCTTGTTCTTATATTTGCTATTTGTTTATACAACACTTCCAAGAAATCCTAGCCAAAAATCAAACAGGTTAAGGTGTGTATACTTTGCAGCTATGATTAAGGAATGAGCGTTGTAACTTGAAACTCCAATGTATATCCCACGAAGATTATTAGGGATGAATAAAAAATTGTCGTGGAATATTTTGTTAGCATACCAGATAATGGGTTTCACTCTGAGACTCTATACGAATTTCTCCATCAATCCTGTACTCTCCTGTGCTCTCCACACACAGGCTCCTTTCCTCCACTCAGTTTGTAGTCTCTTCTACTTTTTTTTTTCTTTTGGAGAGTTTCTGCAGGCACTCAAATCATAGATCTTAGAGGGAAAGGAAGAGAAATGCAGAGAACTGGTACCTATCTGATTCTTCTCTTTTGCTACTCAGAGACAGACGAGTTTCTCCTCTGAAGCACTAAGGCAATCTAGTAGAAACAACATAGTAACTATGGAAATTGTCTTGCCTTTTTCACTGTGTTTGTATTCAAATAAACACTCTGCCACGAGAATGCATGAGATCTATGTCTGGCTTGTTTCAGCAGACATGACTTGCCACATTTAACACCTTGTCCTCCCATAAGCTACAGCCGTTCCTCTGGCATTCCAGGGATAGCTAGAACTATCAATTTTATATTGATAGTTTTCAAAGGCCAGGCCAGGAGTGGGGACTAGTGTTTAAACACTTTCCTTCTTCTGGGGCCTTATTTTTCCCCAAGGGCCTACAGTTTTTGCCTGAGTATATTTGCTCCAATGATTCTGTCAGGGTTAGCTTATTTCTCCTATTTGTATGGTTGGCAGGGTCCTCTCTTGTCTACTCTGAGGAACTGTTTGGTACTGAAGGTTTTGGAGATTATAGTGCTGAATTTTCTTCTTTCCCTGGCAGAACAGTAAAGCAACAGGGTTTGTTCCCTAAAACACCCTTCTCACTCTAGGCTTGGAGGCTTGGAGGAAAGGAGGCGTAGCAGACCACAGTTTAGTTTGGAGTGTGTTTCTCAAGCCCAAGGCAGATATCTCTAAAGTTGATTTTTTTCAGTTTCCAGATGGTAAATTTATTGATTTTTAGTAACAGTTGAGTATCATCTGTGTGCTAGTCACGACCTCAAATTTTTTTTAATGATGAAGCATCATATACTACTGTGTCTTGCACACAGTAAGTGTTCCACATGTGTAACTTCAGCAAGAGAATGAACTATAGAACTCTGTAGCCTGTTAAATCGAGTATCTATGTATATAAAACAAAAATAATTGTATGTTTATATGATAGAGATTTTTAATGCTATTTTCATTAATCTAAAACATAAGGACAAAAGAGAAGACAAACACAAATTAAATCACCAGTAAATTGACATTAATCTATGAAGATCACCCTTAGCCAACCTGTTTCCATCAGTAGACTCTTTTTAAAAGTTTTTCTAGCCGGGCGGTTGTGGTGCACGCCTTTAATCCTAGCACTTGGGAGGCAGAGGCAGGTAGATTTCTGAGTTCGAGGCCAGCCTGGTCTACAGAGTGAGTTCCAGGACAGCCCGGGCTACACAGAGAAACCCTGTCTCGAAAAAAAAAAATTTTAAATTAAATACCTATTCAAACCCTTTGTCAGTTAAAAAATTGGATTATTTAACTGAAAAAAATTATATGATGTGTGTGATGGGGACAATGCCACTATTGTCCTGATCCAAAACCACACAAAAACGCCCCCCAAAAAGAAAATTACAGACCAATATTCCTTACGAACATAGATGTAAATTTTTTCAATAAAATATTTGTCAACCAAATTCAGGAACATGTCTGTCTTAATGTTCTAATGCTATGAAGAGATAGGACCATGACCTCAGCAACTCTTATCAAGGAAAGCATTTACCAGTTTCACAGGTTTAGCTCATTGTCATTAGGGTAGCGGGCATGGCAACATGCAGGCAGTAGCTGAGACATCTACATCCAGATCTATAGGCAGCAGGAAGAAAGAGACTCTGGGTTTGGAATGTACTTTTTGAAACCTCAAAGCCTACCACCAGTGACTTCCAACTAGGCCATGTATCCTAATCCCTTCAAATAGTGTCACTCTCTGGTGACCAAGTATTCAAATCTATTAGCCTATAGGAACCAGTCTCATTCAAACCACCATAACATCAAAAAGATTATATACCGTGGTCAAGTTGACTTCGTCCTAGAAATGCAGATATGGTTCAACATACATAAATCAATAAACACAACCCACCACATAAACAAACTGAAAGACAAAAACCACATGATCATCTCATTAGGTGCAGAAAAGGCCTTTGACAAAATCCAACATCTCTTCATGATGGACACATTGGAAATACAAGGAATGTACCTCAACATATAAAGGTAATTTAAAGCAAACCATCGTCAACATCTTCCTAAATGAAGAGAAACGCAAAGCAATTCTATTAAAATTAAAAACAAGACAAGAATGACCATTCTTTCCACTCCTATGCAATATGCCACTTGAAATCTTAGAAAAAGAAGACAACAGAGGAAGGTCAAGGGGATACAAACAGGAAAGAAAGAAGTCAAAGTATTTTCATTTGCAGGTGATATGATTTTATATATAAAAGACCATAAAGACTATACCAGGAAACTTCTATAGCTAATAAACACTTTCAGCAATGAAGCAGGATACCAAATTAACACACAAAAATCAGTAGCCTTCCTATATATAAATGATAAACATACTAAGAAAGAAATCAGGGAAGCAATACTTTTCACAATAGCCTTAAACAAACAAACAAGGAGAGATGGCTCAGCAGTTAAGAGTACTGACTGCTCTTCCAGAGGTACTGGGTTCAAATCCCAGCAACCACATGGTGGCTCACAACCTCCATAATGAGATTGGATGCCCTCTTCTGGTGTGTCTGAAGACAGCTACAGTGTACTCATCAATAAAATAAATAAATAAATATTACAAACAAACAAACAAACGTCCAAACTCCAATCAAGCAAGTGAAAGACTTGTATAATCAAAACTTTAGGAGCCAAGCAGTGGTGGTATACATTTTTATCCCAGCACTCTGGCAGAGACAAAGAGACAGAGAGGAGAGGCAGAGAGGAGAGGAGAGGCAGAGAGGCAGAGAGAGGGAGAGAGAGGGGCACGGAGAGGAGCAGAGAGAGGGGTAGAGAGAGGGGCAGAGAGGGGTAGAGAGAGGGGCAGAGAGGCGGGCAGAGAGGCAGACAGAGAGGCAGGCAGAGAGGCAGGCAGAGAGGCAGAAAGAGAGGCAGAGAGAGAGGCAGAAAGAAAGGCAGAGAGAGAGGCAGAGAGGCAGAAAGAGAGGCAGAGAGAGAGGCAGAAAGAAAGGCAGAGAGGCAGGAGAGGCAGGAGAGGCAGGAGAGGCAGGCAGGAGAGGCAGGAGAGGCAGGAGAGGCAGGAGAGGCAGAGAGAGGCAGGCAGAGAAGCAGAAAGTCAGAGAAGCAGAGAGAGGCCAGCCTGGTCCACAGAGTGGGTTTCAGGACAGCCATGACTTAATAGAGAAACCATGTCTTTTAAAAAAAATGAACCAAATTAAATAAAACAAAAAACAAAAATGTTTAGGACATTGAAGAAGGAAACTGAAGAAGAGAAGAGACCAGAAGATAGAATGATCTGCCGTGCTGTGGATCAGTTGGTTAGTATTGTGAAAACGGCATCTTACCCAAAGCAATCTACAAAATCTCTACAGAAATTGAAAAGAAATTTTAAAAAACCATCTTCAACTTCATATGGACACACAAGAAACCCAGAATTGCTAAAAAAAAAAAAAAAAAAAAAAAAAAAAAAAAAAAAAAAAAAAAAAAGAAAGAAAGAAAGAAAGAAAAAAGAAAAAAGAAAAAAAGCAATCCTGAATAATAAAAGAACTGCTAGAGGTTTCATCACCCCAGATTTCAAGTTATATTACAAAGCCATAGTAGA